CAACGAGTGAACAACGTGTAGTACACGAACTGGAGCTGTCATTTCGGCACAGCTGATGACTCAATTGAATGGTGTTATTGCATGACCTAAGCACCGCATCAAGAGCCAGCAGCAGTTGCGCTTCCCATCTTCGTGCGGTGTTGGATGCAAGCACAGACATGCAACCAGACATGCAACCAGACATGGGCAACGAGTGAACAACGTGTACGACACGAACTGGAGCTGTCATTTCGGCACAGCTGATGACTCAATTGAATGGTGTTATTGCATGACCTAAGCACCGCATCAAGAGCCAGCAACAGTTGCCCTTCCCATCTTCGTGCGGTGTTGGATGCAAGCACAGACATGCAACCAGACATGCAACCAGACATGGGCAACGAGTGAACAACGTGTAGTACACGAACTGGAGCTGTCATTTCGGCACAGCTGATGACTCAATTGAATGGTGTTATTGCATGACCTAAGCACCGCATCAAGACCCATCAACAGTTGCGCTTCCCATCTTCGTGCGGTGTTGGATGCAAGCACAGACATGCAACCAGATATGCAACCGGACATGGGCAACGAGTGAACAACGTGCGGTACACGAACTGGAGCTGTCATTTCGGCACAGATGATGCTTCCGACTCAATTGAATGGCGTTATAGCATAACCTAAGCACCGTATCAAGACCCAGCAGCAGTTGCGCTTCCCATCTTCGTGCGGTGTTGGATGCAAGCACAGACATGCAGCCAGACATGCAACCAGACATGGGCAACGAGAGAACAACGTGCGGGACACGAACTGGAGCTGTCATTTCGGCACAGCTGATGACTCAATTGAATGGTGTTATTGCATGACCTAAGCACCGCATCAAGACCCAGCAGCAGTTGCGCTTCCCATCTTCGTGCGGTGTTGGATGCAAGCACAGACATGCAACCAGGCATGGGCAACGAGTGAACAACGTGTAGTACACGAACTGGAGCTGTCATTTCGGCACAGCTGATGACTCATTGAATGGTGTTATTGCATGACCTAAGCACCGCATCAAGACCCAGCAGCAGTTGCGCTTCCCATCTTCGTGCGGTGTTGGATGCAAGCACAGACATGCAACCAGACATGCAACCAGACATGGGCAACGAGTGAACAACGTGTAGTACACGAACTGGAGCTGTCATTTCGGCACAGCTGATGACTCAATTGAATGGTGTTATTGCATGACCTAAGCACCGCATCAAGACCCAGCAACAGTTGCGCTTCCCATCTTCGTGCGGTGTTGGATGCAAGCACAGACATGCAACCAGACATGCAACCAGACATGGGCAACGAGTGAACAACGTGCGGTACACGAACTGGAGCTGTCATTTCGGCACAGCTGATGACTCAATTGAATGGTGTTATTGCATGACCTAAGCACCGCATCAAGAGCCAGCAGCAGTTGCGCTTCCCATCTTCGTGCGGTGTTGGATGCAAGCACAGACATGCAACCAGACATGCAACCAGACATGGGCAACGAGTGAACAACGTGCGGGACACGAACTGGAGCTGTCATTTCGGCACAGCTGATGACTCAATTGAATGGTGTTATTGCATGACCTAAGCACCGCATCAAGACCCAGCAACAGTTGCCCTTCCCATCTTCGTGCGGTGTTGGATGCAAGCACAGACATGCAACCAGACATGCAACCAGACATGGGCAACGAGTGAACAACGTGTACGACACGAACTGGAGCTGTCATTTCGGCACAGCTGATGACTCAATTGAATGGTGTTATTGCATGACCTAAGCACCGCATCAAGACCCAGCAGCAGTTGCGCTTCCCATCTTCGTGCGGTGTTGGATGCAAGCACAGACATGCAACCAGACATGCAACCAGACATGGGCAACGAGTGAACAACGTGCGGGACACGAACTGGAGCTGTCATTTCGGCACAGCTGATGACTCAATTGAATGGCGTTATTGCATGACCTAAGCACCGCATCAAGACCCAGCAGCAGTTGCGCTTCCCATCTTCGTGCGGTGTTGGATGCAAGCACAGACATGCAACCAGACATGCAACCAGACATGGGCAACGAGTGAACAACGTGTAGTACACGAACTGGAGCTGTCATTTCGGCACAGCTGATGACTCAATTGAATGGTGTTATTGCATGACCTAAGCACCGCATCAAGACCCAGCAACAGTTGCGCTTCCCATCTTCGTGCGGTGTTGGATGCAAGCACAGACATGCAACCAGACATGCAACCAGACATGGGCAACGAGTGAACAACGTGCGGTACACGAACTGGAGCTGTCATTTCGGCACAGCTGATGACTCAATTGAATGGTGTTATTGCATGACCTAAGCACCGCATCAAGAGCCAGCAGCAGTTGCGCTTCCCATCTTCGTGCGGTGTTGGATGCAAGCACAGACATGCAACCAGACATGCAACCAGACATGGGCAACGAGTGAACAACGTGCGGGACACGAACTGGAGCTGTCATTTCGGCACAGCTGATGACTCAATTGAATGGTGTTATTGCATGACCTAAGCACCGCATCAAGACCCAGCAACAGTTGCCCTTCCCATCTTCGTGCGGTGTTGGATGCAAGCACAGACATGCAACCAGACATGCAACCAGACATGGGCAACGAGTGAACAACGTGTACGACACGAACTGGAGCTGTCATTTCGGCACAGCTGATGACTCAATTGAATGGTGTTATTGCATGACCTAAGCACCGCATCAAGAGCCAGCAACAGTTGCCCTTCCCATCTTCGTGCGGTGTTGGATGCAAGCACAGACATGCAACCAGACATGGGCAACGAGTGAACAACGTGTAGTACACGAACTGGAGCTGTCATTTCGGCACAGCTGATGACTCAATTGAATGGTGTTATTGCATGACCTAAGCACCGCATCAAGACCCATCAACAGTTGCGCTTCCCATCTTCGTGCGGTGTTGGATGCAAGCACAGACATGCAACCAGATATGCAACCGGACATGGGCAACGAGTGAACAACGTGCGGTACACGAACTGGAGCTGTCATTTCGGCACAGATGATGCTTCCGACTCAATTGAATGGCGTTATAGCATAACCTAAGCACCGTATCAAGACCCAGCAGCAGTTGCGCTTCCCATCTTCGTGCGGTGTTGGATGCAAGCACAGACATGCAACCAGACATGGGCAACGAGAGAACAACGTGCGGGACACGAACTGGAGCTGTCATTTCGGCACAGCTGATGACTCAATTGAATGGTGTTATTGCATGACCTAAGCACCGCATCAAGACCTAGCAGCAGTTGCGCTTCCCATCTTCGTGCGGTGTTGGATGCAAGCACAGACATGCAACCAGGCATGGGCAACGAGTGAACAACGTGTAGTACACGAACTGGAGCTGTCATTTCGGCACAGCTGATGACTCATTTGAATGGTGTTATTGCATGACCTAAGCACCGCATCAAGACCCAGCAGCAGTTGCGCTTCCCATCTTCGTGCGGTGTTGGATGCAAGCACAGACATGCAACCAGACATGCAACCAGACATGGGCAACGAGTGAACAACGTGTAGTACACGAACTGGAGCTGTCATTTCGGCACAGCTGATGACTCAATTGAATGGTGTTATTGCATGACCTAAGCACCGCATCAAGACCCAGCAACAGTTGCGCTTCCCATCTTCGTGCGGTGTTGGATGCAAGCACAGACATGCAACCAGACATGCAACCAGACATGGGCAACGAGTGAACAACGTGCGGTACACGAACTGGAGCTGTCATTTCGGCACAGCTGATGACTCAATTGAATGGTGTTATTGCATGACCTAAGCACCGCATCAAGAGCCAGCAGCAGTTGCGCTTCCCATCTTCGTGCGGTGTTGGATGCAAGCACAGACATGCAACCAGACATGCAACCAGACATGGGCAACGAGTGAACAACGTGCGGGACACGAACTGGAGCTGTCATTTCGGCACAGCTGATGATTCCGACTCAATTGAATGGTGTTATTGCATGACCTAAGCACCGCATCAAGACCCAGCAGCAGTTGCGCTTCCCATCTTCGTGCGGTGTTGGATGCAAGCACAGACATGCAACCAGACATGGGCAACGAGTGAACAACGTGTACGACACGAACTGGAGCTGTCATTTCGGCACAGCTGATGACTCAATTGAATGGTGTTATTGCATGACCTAAGCACCGCATCAAGAGCCAGCAACAGTTGCGCTTCCCATCTTCGTGCGGTGTTGGATGCAAGCACAGACATGCAACCAGACATGGGCAACGAGTGAACAACGTGCGGGACACGAACTGTAGCTGTTGTTTCGGCACAGCTGATGACTCAATTGAATGGTGTTATTGCATGACCTAAGCGCCGAATCAAGATCCAGTAACAGTTGCGCTTCCCATCTTCGTGCGGTGTTGGATGCAAGCACAGACATGCAACCAGACATGCAACCAGACATGGGCAACGAGTGAACAACGTGCGGGACACGAACTGGAGCTGTCATTTCGGCACAGCTGATGACTCAATTGAATGGTGTTATTGCATGACCTAAGCACCGCATCAAGACCCAGCAACAGTTGCGCTTCCCATCTTCGTGCGGTGTTGGATGCAAGCACAGACATGCAACCAGACATGGGCAACGAGTGAACAACGTGCGGTACACGAACTGGAGCTGTCATTTCGGCACAGATGATGATTCCGACTCAATTGAATGGCGTTATAGCATGACCTAAGCACCGCATCAAGAGCCAGCAGCAGTTGCGCTTCCCATCTTCGTGCGGTGTTGGATGCAAGCACAGACATGCAACCAGACATGCAACCAGACATGGGCAACGAGTGAACAACGTGTAGTACACGAACTGGAGCTGTCATTTCGGCACAGCTGATGACTCAATTGAATGGTGTTATTGCATGACCTAAGCACCGCATCAAGACCCAGCAGCAGTTGCGCTTCCCATCTTCGTGCGGTGTTGGATGCAAGCACAGACATGCAACCAGACATGGGCAACGAGTGAACAACGTGCGGGACACGAACTGGAGCTGTCATTTCGGCACATCTGATGACTCAATTGAATGGTGTTATTGCATGACCTAAGCGCCGCATCAAGACCCAGCAACAGTTGCGCTTCCCATCTTCGTGCGGTGTTGGATGCAAGCACAGACATGCAACCAGACATGCAACCAGACATGGGCAACGAGTGAACAACGTGCGGTACACGAATTGTAGCTGTTGTTTCGGCACAGCTGATGACTCAATTGAATGGTGTTATTGCATGACCTAAGCGCCGAATCAAGATCCAGTAACAGTTGCGCTTCCCATCTTCGTGCGGTGTTGGATGCAAGCACAGACATGCAACCAGACATGCAACCAGACATGGGCAACGAGTGAACAACGTGTAGTACACGAACTGGAGCTGTCATTTCGGCACAGCTGATGACTCAATTGAATGGTGTTATTGCATGACCTAAGCACCGCATCAAGACCCAGCAGCAGTTGCGCTTCCCATCTTCGTGCGGTGTTGGATGCAACCAGACATGCAACCAGACATGGGCAACGAGTGAACAACGTGTAGTACACGAACTGGAGCTGTGATTTCGGCACAGCTGATGACTCAATTGAATGGTGTTATTGCATGACCTAAGCACCGCATCAAGACCCAGCAACAGTTGCGCTTCCCATCTTCGTGCGGTGTTGGATGCAAGCACAGACATGCAACCAGACATGGGCAACGAGTGAACAACGTGCGGTACACGAACTGGAGCTGTCATTTCGGCACAGATGATGATTCCGACTCAATTGAATGGCGCTATAGCATAACCTAAGCACCGCATCAAGAGCCAGCAGCAGTTGCGCTTCCCATCTTCGTGCGGTGTTGGATGCAAGCACAGACATGCAACCAGACATGCAACCAGACATGGGCAACGAGTGAACAACGTGCGGGACACGAACTGGAGCTGTCATTTCGGCACATCTGATGACTCAATTGAATGGTGTTATTGCATGACCTAAGCGCCGCATCAAGATCCAGCAACAGTTGCGCTTCCCATCTTCGTGCGGTGTTGGATGCAAGCACAGACATGCAACCAGACATGCAACCAGACATGGGGAACGAGTGAACAACGTGTAGTACACGAACTGGAGCTGTCATTTCGGCACAGCTGATGACTCAATTGAATGGTGTTATTGCATGACCTAAGCACCGCATCAAGATCCAGTAACAGTTGCGCTTCCCATCTTCGTGCGGTGTTGGATGCAAGCACAGACATGCAACCAGACATGCAACCAGACATGGGCAACGAGTGAACAACGTGTAGTACACGAACTGGAGCTGTCATTTCGGCACAGCTGATGACTCAATTGAATGGTGTTATTGCATGACCTAAGCACCGCATCAAGACCCAGCAGCAGTTGCGCTTCCCATCTTCGTGCGGTGTTGGATGCAACCAGACATGCAACCAGACATGGGCAACGAGTGAACAACGTGTAGTACACGAACTGGAGCTGTGATTTCGGCACAGCTGATGACTCAATTGAATGGTGTTATTGCATGACCTAAGCACCGCATCAAGACCCAGCAGCAGTTGCGCTTCCCATCTTCGTGCGGTGTTGGATGCAAGCACAGACATGCAACCAGACATGCAACCAGACATGGGCAACGAGTGAACAACGTGTAGTACACGAACTGGAGCTGTCATTTCGGCACAGCTGATGACTCAATTGAATGGTGTTATTGCATGACCTAAGCACCGCATCAAGACCCAGCAACAGTTGCGCTTCCCATCTTCGTGCGGTGTTGGATGCAAGCACAGACATGCAACCAGACATGCAACCAGGCATGGGCAACGAGTGAACAACGTGTAGTACACGAACTGGAGCTGTCATTTCGGCACAGCTGATGACTCAATTGAATGGTGTTATTGCATGACCTAAGCACCGCATCAAGACCCAGCAGCAGTTGCGCTTCCCATCTTCGTGCGGTGTTGGATGCAAGCACAGACATGCAACCAGACATGCAACCAGACATGGGCAACGAGTGAACAACGTGCGGTACACGAACTGGAGCTGTCATTTCGACACAGCTGATGACTCAATTGAATGGTGTTATTGCATGACCTAAGCACCGCATCAAGAGCCAGCAACAGTTGCGCTTCCCATCTTCGTGCGGTGTTGGATGCAAGCACAGACATGCAACCAGACATGCAACCAGACATGGGGAACGAGTGAACAACGTGTAGTACACGAACTGGAGCTGTCATTTCGGCACAGCTGATGACTCAATTGAATGGTGTTATTGCATGACCTAAGCACCGCATCAAGACCCAGCAGCAGTTGCGCTTCCCATCTTCGTGCGGTGTTGGATGCAACCAGACATGCAACCAGACATGGGCAACGAGTGAACAACGTGTAGTACACGAACTGGAGCTGTGATTTCGGCACAGCTGATGACTCAATTGAATGGTGTTATTGCATGACCTAAGCACCGCATCAAGACCCAGCAGCAGTTGCGCTTCCCATCTTCGTGCGGTGTTGGATGCAAGCACAGACATGCAACCAGACATGCAACCAGACATGGGCAACGAGTGAACAACGTGTAGTACACGAACTGGAGCTGTCATTTCGGCACAGCTGATGACTCAATTGAATGGTGTTATTGCATGACCTAAGCACCGCATCAAGACCCAGCAACAGTTGCGCTTCCCATCTTCGTGCGGTGTTGGATGCAAGCACAGACATGCAACCAGACATGCAACCAGGCATGGGCAACGAGTGAACAACGTGTAGTACACGAACTGGAGCTGTCATTTCGGCACAGCTGATGACTCAATTGAATGGTGTTATTGCATGACCTAAGCACCGCATCAAGACCCAGCAGCAGTTGCGCTTCCCATCTTCGTGCGGTGTTGGATGCAAGCACAGACATGCAACCAGACATGCAACCAGACATGGGCAACGAGTGAACAACGTGCGGTACACGAACTGGAGCTGTCATTTCGACACAGCTGATGACTCAATTGAATGGTGTTATTGCATGACCTAAGCACCGCATCAAGAGCCAGCAACAGTTGCGCTTCCCATCTTCGTGCGGTGTTGGATGCAAGCACAGACATGCAACCAGACATGCAACCAGACATGGGGAACGAGTGAACAACGTGTAGTACACGAACTGGAGCTGTCATTTCGGCACAGATGATGATTCCGACTCAATTGAATGGCGCTATAGCATGACCTAAGTACCGCATCAAGACCCAGCAACAGTTGCGCTTCCCATCTTCGTGCGGTGTTGGATGCAAGCACAGACATGCAACCAGACATGGGCAACGAGTGAACAACGTGCGGTACACGAACTGGAGCTGTCATTTCGGCACAGATGATGATTCCGACTCAATTGAATGGCGCTATAGCATAACCTAAGCACCGCATCAAGAGCCAGCAGCAGTTGCGCTTCCCATCTTCGTGCGGTGTTGGATGCAAGCACAGACATGCAACCAGACATGGGCAACGAGTGAACAACGTGCGGGACACGAACTGGAGCTGTCATTTCGGCACATCTGATGACTCAATTGAATGGTGTTATTGCATGACCTAAGCACCGCATCAAGACCCAGCAGCAGTTGCGCTTCCCATCTTCGTGCGGTGTTGGATGCAAGCACAGACATGCAACCAGATATGCAACCGGACATGGGCAACGAGTGAACAACGTGCGGTACACGAACTGGAGCTGTCATTTCGGCACAGATGATGATTCCGACTCAATTGAATGGTGTTATTGCATGACCTAAGCACCGCATCAAGAGCCAGCAACAGTTGCGCTTCCCATCTTCGTGCGGTGTTGGATGCAAGCACAGACATGCAACCAGACATGCAACCAGACATGGGCAACGAGTGAACAACGTGCGGTACACGAACTGGAGCTGTCATTTCGGCACAGATGATGATTCCGACTCAATTTAATGGCGTCATAGCATAACCTAAGCACCGCATCAAGAGCCAGCAGCAGTTGCGCTTCCCATCTTCGTGCGGTGTTGGATGCAAGCACAGACATGCAACCAGACATGCAATTAGACATGGGCAACGAGTGAACAACGTGCGGGACACGAACTGGAGCTGTCATTTCGGCACAGCTGATGACTCAATTGAATGGTGTTATTGCATGACCTAAGCACCGCATCAAGACCCAGTAACAGTTGCGCTTCCCATCTTCGTGCGGTGTTGGATGCAAGCACAGACATGCAACCAGACATGCAACCAGACATGGGCAACGAGTGAACAACGTGCGGTACACGAACTGAAGCTGTCATTTCGGCACAGCTGATGACTCAATTGAATGGTGTTATTGCATGACCTAAGCACCGCATCAAGACCCAGCAACAGTTGCGCTTCCCATCTTCGTGCGGTGTTGGATGCAAGCACAGACATGCAACCAGATATGCAACCGGACATGGGCAACGAGTGAACAACGTGCGGTACACGAACTGGAGCTGTCATTTCGGCACAGATGATGATTCCGACTCAATTGAATGGTGTTATTGCATGACCTAAGCACCGCATCAAGAGCCAGCAACAGTTGCGCTTCCCATCTTCGTGCGGTGTTGGATGCAAGCACAGACATGCAACCAGACATGCAACCAGACATGGGCAACGAGTGAACAACGTGCGGTACACGAACTGGAGCTGTCATTTCGGCACATCTGATGCTTCCGACTCAATTGAATGGCGTTATAGCATAACCTAAGCACCGCATCAAGAGCCAGCAGCAGTTGCGCTTCCCATCTTCGTGCGGTGTTGGATGCAAGCACAGACATGCAACCAGACATGCAACCAGACATGGGCAACGAGTGAACAACGTGTAGTACACGAACTGGAGCTGTCATTTCGGCACAGCTGATGACTCAATTGAATGGTGTTATTGCATGACCTAAGCACCGCATCAAGACCCAGCAACAGTTGCGCTTCCCATCTTCGTGCGGTGTTGGATGCAAGCACAGACATGCAACCAGACATGGGCAACGAGTGAACAACGTGCGGGACACGAACTGGAGCTGTCATTTCGGCACATCTGATGACTCAATTGAATGGTGTTATTGCATGACCTAAGCGCCGAATCAAGATCCAGTAACAGTTGCGCTTCCCATCTTCGTGCGGTGTTGGATGCAAGCACAGACATGCAACCAGACATGCAACCAGACATGGGGAACGAGTGAACAACGTGTAGTACACGAACTGGAGCTGTCATTTCGGCACAGCTGATGACTCAATTGAATGGTGTTATTGCATGACCTAAGCACCGCATCAAGACCCAGCAACAGTTGCGCTTCCCATCTTCGTGCGGTGTTGGATGCAAGCACAGACATGCAACCAGACATGGGCAACGAGTGAACAACGTGCGGTACACGAACTGGAGCTGTCATTTCGGCACAGATGATGATTCCGACTCAATTGAATGGCGCTATAGCATAACCTAAGCACCGCATCAAGAGCCAGCAGCAGTTGCGCTTCCCATCTTCGTGCGGTGTTGGATGCAAGCACAGACATGCAACCAGACATGCAACCAGACATGGGCAACGAGTGAACAACGTGCGGGACACGAACTGGAGCTGTCATTTCGGCACAGCTGATGACTCAATTGAATGGTGTTATTGCATGACCTAAGCACCGCATCAAGACCCAGCAGCAGTTGCGCTTCCCATCTTCGTGCGGTGTTGGATGCAAGCACAGACATGCAACCAGACATGGGCAACGAGTGAACAACGTGCGGGACACGAACTGGAGCTGTCATTTCGGCACATCTGATGACTCAATTGAATGGTGTTATTGCATGACCTAAGCGCCGCATCAAGACCCAGCAACAGTTGCGCTTCCCATCTTCGTGCGGTGTTGGATGCAAGCACAGACATGCAACCAGACATGCAACCAGACATGGGCAACGAGTGAACAACGTGCGGTACACGAATTGTAGCTGTTGTTTCGGCACAGCTGATGACTCAATTGAATGGTGTTATTGCATGACCTAAGCGCCGAATCAAGATCCAGTAACAGTTGCGCTTCCCATCTTCGTGCGGTGTTGGATGCAAGCACAGACATGCAACCAGACATGCAACCAGACATGGGCAACGAGTGAACAACGTGCGGGACACGAACTGGAGCTGTCATTTCGGCACAGCTGATGACTCAATTGAATGGTGTTATTGCATGACCTAAGCACCGCATCAAGAGCCAGCAGCAGTTGCGCTTCCCATCTTCGTGCGGTGTTGGATGCAAGCACAGACATGCAACCAGACATGGGCAACGAGTGAACAACGTGCGGGACACGAACTGGAGCTGTCATTTCGGCACATCTGATGACTCAATTGAATGGTGTTATTGCATGACCTAAGCGCCGCATCAAGACCCAGCAACAGTTGCGCTTCCCATCTTCGTGCGGTGTTGGATGCAAGCACAGACATGCAACCAGACATGCAACCAGACATGGGCAACGAGTGAACAACGTGCGGTACACGAATTGTAGCTGTTGTTTCGGCACAGCTGATGACTCAATTGAATGGTGTTATTGCATGACCTAAGCGCCGAATCAAGATCCAGTAACAGTTGCGCTTCCCATCTTCGTGCGGTGTTGGATGCAAGCACAGACATGCAACCAGACATGCAACCAGACATGGGCAACGAGTGAACAACGTGCGGGACACGAACTGGAGCTGTCATTTCGGCACAGCTGATGACTCAATTGAATGGTGTTATTGCATGACCTAAGCACCGCATCAAGACCCAGCAGCAGTTGCGCTTCCCATCTTCGTGCGGTGTTGGATGCAAGCACAGACATGCAACCAGACATGCAACCAGACATGGGCAACGAGTGAACAACGTGCGGTACACGAACTGGAGCTGTCATTTCGACACAGCTGATGACTCAATTGAATGGTGTTATTGCATGACCTAAGCACCGCATCAAGACCCAGCAGCAGTTGCGCTTCCCATCTTCGTGCGGTGTTGGATGCAAGCACAGACATGCAACCAGACATGCAACCAGACATGGGGAACGAGTGAACAACGTGTAGTACACGAACTGGAGCTGTCATTTCGGCACAGCTGATGACTCAATTGAATGGTGTTATTGCATGACCTAAGCACCGCATCAAGACCCAGCAACAGTTGCGCTTCCCATCTTCGTGCGGTGTTGGATGCAAGCACAGACATGCAACCAGACATGCAACCAGACATGGGCAACGAGTGAACAACGTGTAGTACACGAACTGGAGCTGTGATTTCGGCACAGCTGATGACTCAATTGAATGGTGTTATTGCATGACCTAAGCGCCGCATCAAGACCCAGCAGCAGTTGCGCTTCCCATCTTCGTGCGGTGTTGGATGCAAGCACAGACATGCAACCAGACATGCAACCAGACATGGGCAACGAGTGAACAACGTGCGGTACACGAACTGGAGCTGTCATTTCGGCACAGCTGATGACTCAATTGAATGGTGTTATTGCATGACCTAAGCACCGCATCAAGACCCAGCAACAGTTGCGCTTCCCATCTTCGTGCTGTGTTGGATGCAAGCACAGACATGCAACCAGACATGCAACCAGACATGGGCAACGAGTGAACAACGTGCGGTACACGAACTGGAGCTGTCATTTCGGCACAGCTGATGACTCAATTGAATGGTGTTATTGCATGACCTAAGCACCGCATCAAGACCCAGCAGCAGTTGCGCTTCCCATCTTCGTGCGGTGTTGGATGCAAGCACAGACATGCAACCAGACATGCAACCAGACATGGGCAACGAGTGAACAACGTGTAGTACACGAACTGGAGCTGTCATTTCGGCACAGCTGATGACTCAATTGAATGGTGTTATTGCATGACCTAAGCACCGCATCAAGACCCAGCAGCAGTTGCGCTTCCCATCTTCGTGCGGTGTTGGATGCAACCAGACATGCAACCAGACATGGGCAACGAGTGAACAACGTGCGGTACACGAACTGGAGCTGTCATTTCGGCACAGCTGATGACTCAATTGAATGGTGTTATTGCATGACCTAAGCACCGCATCAAGACCCAGCAGCAGTTGCGCTTCCCATCTTCGTGCGGTGTTGGATGCAAGCACAGACATGCAACCAGACATGCAACCAGACATGGGCAACGAGTGAACAACGTGTAGTACACGAACTGGAGCTGTCATTTCGGCACAGCTGATGACTCAATTGAATGGTGTTATTGCATGACCTAAGCACCGCATCAAGACCCAGCAGCAGTTGCGCTTCCCATCTTCGTGCGGTGTTGGATGCAAGCACAGACATGCAACCAGACATGCAACCAGACATGGGCAACGAGTGAACAACGTGTGGTACACGAACTGGAGCTGTCATTTCGGCACAGCTGATGACTCAATTGAATGGTGTTATTGCATGACCTAAGCACCGCATCAAGACCCAGCAACAGTTGCGCTTCCCATCTTCGTGCGGTGTTGGATGCAAGCACAGACATGCAACCAGACATGCAACCAGACATGGGCAACGAGTGAACAACGTGTAGTACACGAACTGGAGCTGTCATTTCGGCACAGCTGATGACTCAATTGAATGGTGTTATTGCATGACCTAAGCACCGCATCAAGACCCAGCAGCAGTTGCGCTTCCCATCTTCGTGCGGTGTTGGATGCAAGCACAGACATGCAACCAGACATGGGCAACGAGTGAACAACGTGTAGTACACGAACTGGAGCTGTCATTTCGGCACAGCTGATGATTCCGACTCAATTGAATGGTGTTATTGCATGACCTAAGCACCGCATCAAGACCCAGCAACAGTTGCGCTTCCCATCTTCGTGCGGTGTTGGATGCAAGCACAGACATGCAACCAGACATGCAACCAGACATGGGCAACGAGTGAACAACGTGCGGTACACGAATTGTAGCTGTTGTTTCGGCACAGCTGATGACTCAATTGAATGGTGTTATTGCATGACCTAAGCACCGCATCAAGACCCAGTAACAGTTGCGCTTCCCATCTTCGTGCGGTGTTGGATGCAAGCACAGACATGCAACCAGACATGCAACCAGACATGGGCAACGAGTGAACAACGTGCGGGACACGAACTGGAGCTGTCATTTCGGCACAGCTGATGACTCAATTGAATGGTGTTATTGCATGACCTAAGCACCGCATCAAGACCCAGCAGCAGTTGCGCTTCCCATCTTCGTGCGGTGTTGGATGCAAGCACAGACATGCAACCAGACATGCAACCAGACATGGGCAACGAGTGAACAACGTGTAGTACACGAACTGGAGCTGTCATTTCGGCACAGCTGATGACTCAATTGAATGGTGTTATTGCATGACCTAAGCACCGCATCAAGACCCAGCAGCAGTTGCGCTTCCCATCTTCGTGCGGTGTTGGATGCAAGCACAGACATGCAACCAGACATGCAACCAGACATGGGCAACGAGTGAACAACGTGTAGTACACGAACTGGAGCTGTCATTTCGGCACAGCTGATGACTCAATTGAATGGTGTTATTGCATGACCTAAGCACCGCATCAAGACCCAGCAACAGTTGCGCTTCCCATCTTCGTGCGGTGTTGGATGCAAGCACAGACATGCAACCAGACATGCAACCAGGCATGGGCAACGAGTGAACAACGTGTAGTACACGAACTGGAGCTGTCATTTCGGCACAGCTGATGACTCAATTGAATGGTGTTATTGCATGACCTAAGCACCGCATCAAGACCCAGCAGCAGTTGCGCTTCCCATCTTCGTGCGGTGTTGGATGCAAGCACAGACATGCAACCAGACATGCAACCAGACATGGGCAACGAGTGAACAACGTGCGGTACACGAACTGGAGCTGTCATTTCGACACAGCTGATGACTCAATTGAATGGTGTTATTGCATGACCTAAGCACCGCATCAAGACCCAGCAGCAGTTGCGCTTCCCATCTTCGTGCGGTGTTGGATGCAAGCACAGACATGCAACCAGACATGCAACCAGACATGGGGAACGAGTGAACAACGTGTAGTACACGAACTGGAGCTGTCATTTCGGCACAGCTGATGACTCAATTGAATGGTGTTATTGCATGACCTAAGCACCGCATCAAGACCCAGCAACAGTTGCGCTTCCCATCTTCGTGCGGTGTTGGATGCAAGCACAGACATGCAACCAGACATGCAACCAGACATGGGCAACGAGTGAACAACGTGCGGTACACGAACTGGAGCTGTCATTTCGGCACAGATGATGATTCCGACTCAATTGAATGGCGCTATAGCATAACCTAAGCACCGCATCAAGAGCCAGCAGCAGTTGCGCTTCCCATCTTCGTGCGGTGTTGGATGCAAGCACAGACATGCAACCAGACATGCAACCAGACATGGGCAACGAGTGAACAACGTGCAGGACACGAACTGGAGCTGTCATTTCGGCACAGCTGATGACTCAATTGAATGGTGTTATTGCATGACCTAAGCACCGCATCAAGACCCAGCAGCAGTTGCGCTTCCCATCTTCGTGCGGTGTTGGATGCAAGCACAGACATGCAACCAGACATGCAACCAGACATGGGCAACGAGTGAACAACGTGCGGGACACGAACTGGAGCTGTCATTTCGGCACATCTGATGACTCAATTGAATGGTGTTATTGCATGACCTAAGCGCCGCATCAAGACCCAGCAACAGTTGCGTTTCCCATCTTCGTGCGGTGTTGGATGCAACCAGACATGCAACCAGACATGGGCAACGAGTGAACAACGTGTAGTACACGAACTGGAGCTGTGATTTCGGCACAGCTGATGACTCAATTGAATGGTGTTATTGCATGACCTAAGCACCGCATCAAGACCCAGCAGCAGTTGCGCTTCCCATCTTCGTGCGGTGTTGGATGCAAGCACAGACATGCAACCAGACATGCAACCAGACATGGGCAACGAGTGAACAACGTGTAGTACACGAACTGGAGCTGTCATTTCGGCACAGCTGATGACTCAATTGAATGGTGTTATTGCATGACCTAAGCGCCGAATCAAGATCCAGTAACAGTTGCGCTTCCCATCTTCGTGCGGTGTTGGATGCAAGCACAGACATGCAACCAGACATGCAACCAGACATGGGCAACGAGTGAACAACGTGCGGGACACGAACTGGAGCTGTCATTTCGGCACAGCTGATGACTCAATTGAATGGTGTTATTGCATGACCTAAGCACCGCATCAAGACCCAGCAGCAGTTGCGTTTCCCATCTTCGTGCGGTGTTGGATGCAAGCACAGACATGCAACCAGACATGCAACCAGACATGGGCAACGAGTGAACAACGTGCGGGACACGAACTGGAGCTGTCATTTCGGCACAGCTGATGACTCAATTGAATGGTGTTATTGCATGACCTAAGCACCGCATCAAGACCCAGCAGCAGTTGCGTTTCCCATCTTCGTGCGGTGTTGGATGCAACCAGACATGCAACCAGACATGGGCAACGAGTGAACAACGTGTAGTACACGAACTGTAGCTGTTGTTTCGGCACAGCTGATGACTCAATTGAATGGTGTTATTGCATGACCTAAGCGCCGAATCAAGATCCAGTAACAGTTGCGCTTCCCATCTTCGTGCGGTGTTGGATGCAAGCACAGACATGCAACCAGACATGCAACCAGACATGGGCAACGAGTGAACAACGTGCGGGACACGAACTGGAGCTGTCATTTCGGCACAGCTGATGACTCAATTGAATGGTGTTATTGCATGACCTAAGCACCGCATCAAGACCCAGCAGCAGTTGCGTTTCCCATCTTCGTGCGGTGTTGGATGCAAGCACAGACATGCAACCAGACATGCAACCAGACATGGGCAACGAGTGAACAACGTGCGGTACACGAACTGGAGCTGTCATTTCGGCACAGATGATGATTCCGACTCAATTGAATGGTGTTATTGCATAACCTAAGCACCGCATCAAGAGCCAGCAGCAGTTGCGCTTCCCATCTTCGTGCGGTGTTGGATGCAAGCACAGACATGCAACCAGACATGCAACCAGACATGGGCAACGAGTGAACAACGTGCGGGACACGAACTGGAGCTGTGATTTCGGCACAGCTGATGACTCAATTGAATGGTGTTATTGCATGACCTAAGCACCGCATCAAGACCCAGCAGCAGTTGCGCTTCCCATCTTCGTGCGGTGTTGGATGCAACCAGACATGCAACCAGACATGCAACCAGACATGGGCAACGAGTGAACAACGTGTAGTACACGAACTGGAGCTGTGATTTCGGCACAGCTGATGACTCAATTGAATGGTGTTATTGCATGACCTAAGCACCGCATCAAGACCCAGCAGCAGTTGCGCTTCCCATCTTCGTGCGGTGTTGGATGCAAGCACAGACATGCAACCAGACATGCAACCAGACATGGGCAACGAGTGAACAACGTGTAGTACACGAACTGGAGCTGTCATTTCGGCACAGCTGATGACTCAATTGAATGGTGTTATTGCATGACCTAAGCACCGCATCAAGACCCAGCAACAGTTGCGCTTCCCATCTTCGTGCGGTGTTGGATGCAAGCACAGACATGCAACCAGACATGCAACCAGGCATGGGCAACGAGTGAACAACGTGTAGTACACGAACTGGAGCTGTCATTTCGGCACAGCTGATGACTCAATTGAATGGTGTTATTGCATGACCTAAGCACCGCATCAAGACCCAGCAGCAGTTGCGCTTCCCATCTTCGTGCGGTGTTGGATGCAAGCACAGACATGCAACCAGACATGCAACCAGACATGGGCAACGAGTGAACAACGTGCGGTACACGAACTGGAGCTGTCATTTCGGCACAGCTGATGACTCAATTGAATGGTGTTATTGCATGACCTAAGCACCGCATCAAGACCCAGCAGCAGTTGCGCTTCCCATCTTCGTGCGGTGTTGGATGCAAGCACAGACATGCAACCAGACATGCAACCAGACATGGGCAACGAGTGAACAACGTGCGGTACACGAACTGGAGCTGTCATTTCGGCACAGATGATGATTCCGACTCAATTGAATGGTGTTATTGCATAACCTAAGCACCGCATCAAGAGCCAGCAGCAGTTGCGCTTCCCATCTTCGTGCGGTGTTGGATGCAAGCACAGACATGCAACCAGACATGCAACCAGACATGGGCAACGAGTGAACAACGTGCGGGACACGAACTGGAGCTGTGATTTCGGCACAGCTGATGACTCAATTGAATGGTGTTATTGCATGACCTAAGCACCGCATCAAGACCCAGCAGCAGTTGCGCTTCCCATCTTCGTGCGGTGTTGGATGCAACCAGACATGCAACCAGACATGGGCAACGAGTGAACAACGTGTAGTACACGAACTGGAGCTGTCATTTCGGCACAGCTGATGACTCAATTGAATGGTGTTATTGCATGACCTAAGCACCGCATCAAGACCCAGCAGCAGTTGCGCTTCCCATCTTCGTGCGGTGTTGGATGCAAGCACAGACATGCAACCAGACATGCAACCAGACATGGGCAACGAGTGAACAACGTGTAGTACACGAACTGGAGCTGTCATTTCGGCACAGATGATGATTCCGACTCAATTGAATGGTGTTATTGCATGACCTAAGCACCGCATCAAGACCCAGCAGCAGTTGCGCTTCCCATCTTCGTGCGGTGTTGGATGCAACCAGACATGCAACCAGACATGGGCAACGAGTGAACAACGTGTAGTACACGAACTGGAGCTGTGATTTCGGCACAGCTGATGACTCAATTGAATGGTGTTATTGCATGACCTAAGCACCGCATCAAGACCCAGCAGCAGTTGCGCTTCCCATCTTCGTGCGGTGTTGGATGCAACCAGACATGCAACCAGACATGGGCAACGAGTGAACAACGTGTAGTACACGAACTGGAGCTGTCATTTCGGCACAGCTGATGACTCAATTGAATGGTGTTATTGCATGACCTAAGCACCGCATCAAGACCCAGCAGCAGTTGCGCTTCCCATCTTCGTGCGGTGTTGGATGCAAGCACAGACATGCAACCAGGCATGGGCAACGAGTGAACAACGTGTAGTACACGAACTGGAGCTGTCATTTCGGCACAGCTGATGACTCAATTGAATGGTGTTATTGCATGACCTAAGCACCGCTTCAAGACCCAGCAGCAGTTGCGCTTCCCATCTTCGTGCGGTGTTGGATGCAAGCACAGACATGCAACCAGACATGCAACCAGACATGGGCAACGAGTGAACAACGTGCGGTACACGAACTGGAGCTGTCATTTCGACACAGCTGATGACTCAATTGAATGGTGTTATTGCATGACCTAAGCACCGCATCAAGACCCAGCAGCAGTTGCGCTTCCCATCTTCGTGCGGTGTTGGATGCAAGCACAGACATGCAACCAGATATGCAACCAGACATGGGGAACGAGTGAACAACGTGTAGTACACGAACTGGAGCTGTCATTTCGGCACAGCTGATGACTCAATTGAATGGTGTTATTGCATGACCTAAGCACCGCATCAAGACCCAGCAACAGTTGCGCTTCCCATCTTCGTGCGGTGTTGGATGCAAGCACAGACATGCAACCAGACATGGGCAACGAGTGAACAACGTGCGGTACACGAACTGGAGCTGTCATTTCGGCACAGATGATGATTCCGACTCAATTGAATGGCGCTATAGCATAACCTAAGCACCGCATCAAGAGCCAGCAGCAGTTGCGCTTCCCATCTTCGTGCGGTGTTGGATGCAAGCACAGACATGCAACCAGACATGCAACCAGACATGGGCAACGAGTGAACAACGTGTAGTACACGAACTGGAGCTGTCATTTCGACACAGCTGATGACTCAATTGAATGGTGTTATTGCATGACCTAAGCACCGCATCAAGACCCAGCAGCAGTTGCGCTTCCCATCTTCGTGCGGTGTTGGATGCAAGCACAGACATGCAACCAGACATGCAACCAGACATGGGCAACGAGTGAACAACGTGCGGGACACGAACTGGAGCTGTCATTTCGGCACAGCTGATGACTCAATTGAATGGTGTTATTGCATGACCTAAGCACCGCATCAAGACCCATCAACAGTTGCGCTTCCCATCTTCGTGCGGTGTTGGATGCAAGCACAGACATGCAACCAGATATGCAACCGGACATGGGCAACGAGTGAACAACGTGTGGTACACGAACTGGAGCTGTCATTTCGGCACAGCTGATGACTCAATTGAATGGTGTTATTGCATGACCTAAGCACCGCATCAAGACCCAGCAGCAGTTGCGCTTCCCATCTTCGTGCGGTGTTGGATGCAAGCACAGACATGCAACCAGACATGCAACCAGACATGGGCAACGAGTGAACAACGTGCGGGACACGAACTGGAGCTGTCATTTCGGCACAGCTGATGACTCAATTGAATGGTGTTATTGCATGACCTAAGCACCGCATCAAGACCCATCAACAGTTGCGCTTCCCATCTTCGTGCGGTGTTGGATGCAAGCACAGACATGCAACCAGATATGCAACCGGACATGGGCAACGAGTGAACAACGTGTGGTACACGAACTGGAGCTGTCATTTCGGCACAGCTGATGACTCAATTGAATGGTGTTATTGCATGACCTAAGCACCGCATCAAGACCCAGCAGCAGTTGCGCTTCCCATCTTCGTGCGGTGTTGGATGCAAGCACAGACATGCAACCAGACATGCAACCAGACATGGGCAACGAGTGAACAACGTGTAGTACACGAACTGGGCCTGTCATTTCGGCACAGCTGATGACTCAATTGAATGGTGTTATTGCATGACCTAAGCACCGCATCAAGACCCAGCAACAGTTGCGCTTCCCATCTTCGTGCGGTGTTGGATGCAAGCACAGACATGCAACCAGACATGCAACCAGACATGGGCAACGAGTGAACAACGTGCGGGACACGAACTGGAGCTGTCATTTCGGCACAGATGATGATTCCGACTCAATTGAATGGTGTTATTGCATGACCTAAGCACCGCATCAAGACCCAGCAGCAGTTGCGCTTCCCATCTTCGTGCGGTGTTGGATGCAAGCACAGACATGCAACCAGACATGCAACCAGACATGGGCAACGAGTGAACAACGTGTAGTACACGAACTGGAGCTGTCATTTCGGCACAGCTGATGACTCAATTGAATGGTGTTATTGCATGACCTAAGCACCGCATCAAGACCCAGCAGCAGTTGCGCTTCCCATCTTCGTGCGGTGTTGGATGCAAGCACAGACATGCAACCAGACATGGGCAACGAGTGAACAACGTGCGGGACACGAACTGGAGCTGTCATTTCGGCACAGATGATGATTCCGACTCAATTGAATGGTGTTATTGCATGACCTAAGCACCGCATCAAGACCCAGCAGCAGTTGCGCTTCCCATCTTCGTGCGGTGTTGGATGCAAGCACAGACATGCAACCAGACATGCAACCAGACATGGGCAACGAGTGAACAACGTGTAGTACACGAACTGGAGCTGTCATTTCGGCACAGCTGATGACTCAATTGAATGGTGTTATTGCATGACCTAAGCACCGCATCAAGACCCAGCAGCAGTTGCGCTTCCCATCTTCGTGCGGTGTTGGATGCAAGCACAGACATGCAACCAGACATGGGCAACGAGTGAACAACGTGTAGTACACGAACTGGAGCTGTCATTTCGGCACAGCTGATGACTCAATTGAATGGTGTTATTGCATGACCTAAGCACCGCATCAAGACCCAGCAGCAGTTGCGCTTTCCATCTTCGTGCGGTGTTGGATGCAAGCACAGACATGCAACCAGACATGCAACCAGACATGGGCAACGAGTGAACAACGTGTAGTACACGAACTGGAGCTGTCATTTCGGCACAGCTGATGACTCAATTGAATGGTGTTATTGCATGACCTAAGCGCCGCATCAAGACCCAGCAGCAGTTGCGCTTCCCATCTTCGTGCGGTGTTGGATGCAAGCACAGACATGCAACCAGACATGCAACCAGACATGGGCAACGAGTGAACAACGTGTAGTACACGAACTGGAGCTGTGATTTCGGCACAGCTGATGACTCAATTGAATGGTGTTATTGCATGACCTAAGCACCGCATCAAGACCCAGCAACAGTTGCGCTTCCCATCTTCGTGCGGTGTTGGATGCAAGCACAGACATGCAACCAGACATGCAACCAGACATGGGCAACGAGTGAACAACGTGTAGTACACGAACTGGAGCTGTCATTTCGGCACAGCTGATGACTCAATTGAATGGTGTTATTGCATGACCTAAGCACCGCATCAAGACCCAGCAGCAGTTGCGCTTCCCATCTTCGTGCGGTGTTGGATGCAAGCACAGACATGCAACCAGACATGCAACCAGGCATGGGCAACGAGTGAACAACGTGTAGTACACGAACTGGAGCTGTCATTTCGGCACAGCTGATGACTCAATTGAATGGTGTTATTGCATGACCTAAGCACCGCATCAAGACCCAGCAGCAGTTGCGCTTCCCATCTTCGTGCGGTGTTGGATGCAAGCACAGACATGCAACCAGACATGCAACCAGACATGGGGAACGAGTGAACAACGTGCGGTACACGAACTGGAGCTGTCATTTCGACACAGCTGATGACTCAATTGAATGGTGTTATTGCATGACCTAAGCACCGCATCAAGACCCAGCAGCAGTTGCGCTTCCCATCTTCGTGCGGTGTTGGATGCAAGCACAGACATGCAACCAGACATGCAACCAGGCATGGGCAACGAGTGAACAACGTGTAGTACACGAACTGGAGCTGTCATTTCGGCACAGCTGATGGCTCATTTGAATGGTGTTATTGCATGACCTAAGCACCGCATCAAGACCCAGCAACAGTTGCGCTTCCCATCTTCGTGCGGTGTTGGATGCAAGCACAGACATGCAACCAGACATGCAACCAGACATGGGCAACGAGTGAACAACGTGCGGGACACGAACTGGAGCTGTCATTTCGGCACAGCTGATGCTTCCGACTCAATTGAATGGTGTTATTGCATGACCCAAGCACCGCATCAAGACCCAGCAACAGTTGCGCTTCCCATCTTCGTGCGGTGTTGGATGCAAGCACAGACATGCAACCAGATATGCAACCGGACATGGGCAACGAGTGAACAACATGTAGTACACGAACTGGAGCTGTCATTTCGGCACAGCTGATGACTCAATTGAATGGTGTTATTGCATGACCTAAGCACCGCATCAAGACCCAGTAACAGTTGCGCTTCCCATCTTCGTGCGGTGTTGGATGCAAGCACAGACATGCAACCAGACATGCAACCAGACATGGGCAACGAGTGAACAACGTGCGGGACACGAACTGGAGCTGTCATTTCGGCACAGCTGATGCTTCCGACTCAATTGTTGAATGGTGTTATTGCATGACCTAAGCACCGCATCAAGACCCAGCAACAGTTGCGCTTCCCATCTTCGTGCGGTGTTGGATGCAAGCACAGACATGCAACCAGACATGCAACCAGACATGGGCAACGAGTGAACAACGTGCGGGACACGAACTGGAGCTGTCATTTCGGCACAGATGATGATTCCGACTCAATTGAATGGTGTTATTGCATGACCTAAGCACCGCATCAAGACCCAGCAGCAGTTGCGCTTCCCATCTTCGTGCGGTGTTGGATGCAAGCACAGACATGCAACCAGACATGCAACCAGACATGGGCAACGAGTGAACAACGTGCGGGACACGAACTGGAGCTGTCATTTCGGCACATCTGATGACTCAATTGAATGGTGTTATTGCATGACCCAAGCACCGCATCAAGATCCAGCAACAGTTGCGCTTCCCATCTTCGTGCGGTGTTGGATGCAAGCACAGACATGCAACCAGACATGGGCAACGAGTGAACAACGTGCGGGACACGAACTGGAGCTGTCATTTCGGCACAGCTGATGCTTCCGACTCAATTGAATGGTGTTATTGCATGACCTAAGCACCGCATCAAGACCCAGCAGCAGTTGCGCTTCCCATCTTCGTGCGGTGTTGGATGCAAGCACAGACATGCAACCAGACATGCAACCAGACATGGGCAACGAGTGAACAACGTGCGGGACACGAACTGGAGCTGTCATTTCGGCACAGATGATGATTCCGACTCAATTGAATGGTGTTATTGCATGACCTAAGCACCGCATCAAGACCCAGCAGCAGTTGCGCTTCCCATCTTCGTGCGGTGTTGGATGCAAGCATAGACATGCAACCAGACATGCAACCAGACATGGGCAACGAGTAAACAACGTGTAGGACACGAACTGGAGCTGTCATTTCGGCACAGCTGATGACTCAATTGAATGGTGTTATTGCATGACCTAAGCGCCGCATCAAGACCCAGCAGCAGTTGCGCTTTCCATCTTCGTGCGGTGTTGGATGCAAGCACAGACATGCAACCAGACATGCAACCAGACATGGGCAACGAGTGAACAACGTGTGGTACACGAACTGGAGCTGTCATTTCGGCACAGCTGATGACTCAATTGAATGGTGTTATTGCATGACCTAAGCACCGCATCAAGACCCAGCAGCAGTTGCGCTTCCCATCTTCGTGCGGTGTTGGATGCAAGCACAGACATGCAACCAGACATGCAACCAGACATGGGCAACGAGTGAACAACGTGTAGTACACGAACTGGGCCTGTCATTTCGGCACAGCTGATGACTCAATTGAATGGTGTTATTGCATGACCCAAGCACCGCATCAAGACCCAGCAACAGTTGCGCTTCCCATCTTCGTGCGGTGTTGGATGCAAGCACAGACATGCAACCAGACATGGGCAACGAGTGAACAACGTGTAGTACACGAACTGGAGCTGTTATTTCGGCACAGCTGATGACTCAATTGAATGGTGTTATTGCATGACCCAAGCACCGCATCAAGACCCAGCAACAGTTGCGCTTCCCATCTTCGTGCGGTGTTGGATGCAAGCACAGACATGCAACCAGACATGGGCAACGAGTGAACAACGTGCGGGACACGAACTGGAGCTGTCATTTCGGCACAGCTGATGCTTCCGACTCAATTGAATGGTGTTATTGCATGACCCAAGCACCGCATCAAGACCCAGCAACAGTTGCGCTTCCCATCTTCGTGCGGTGTTGGATGCAAGCACAGACATGCAACCAGACATGCAACCAGACATGGGCAACGAGTGAACAACGTGCGGGACACGAACTGGAGCTGTCATTTCGGCACAGCTGATGACTCAATTGAATGGTGTTTTTGCATGACCTAAGCGCCGAATCAAGATCCAGTAACAGTTGCGCTTCCCATCTTCGTGCGGTGTTGGATGCAAGCACAGACACGCAACCGGACATGCAACCAGACATGGGCAACGAGTGAACAACGTGTAGGACACGAACTGGAGCTGTCATTTCGGCACAGCTGATGATTTTGACTCATTCGAATGGTGTTATTGCATGACCTAAGCACCGCATCAAGACCCAGCAACAGTTGCGCTTCCCATCTTCGTGCGGTGTTGGATGCAAGCACAGACATGCAACCAGACATGCAACCAGACATGGGCAACGAGTGAACAACGTGCTGGACACGAACTGGAGCTGTCATTTCGGCACAGCTGATGACTCAATTGAATGGTGTTATTGCATGACCTAAGCACCGCATCAAGACCCATCAACAGTTGCGCTTCCCATCTTCGTGCGGTGTTGGATGCAAGCACAGACATGCAACCAGATATGCAACCGGACATGGGCAACGAGTGAACAACGTGCGGTACACGAACTGGAGCTGTCATTTCGGCACAGATGATGATTCCGACTCAATTGAATGGTGTTATTGCATGACCTAAGCACCGCATCAAGACATAGCAGCAGTTGCGCTTCCCATCTTCGTGCGGTGTTGGATGCAAGCACAGACATGCAACCAGACATGCAACCAGACATGGGCAACGAGTGAACAACGTGCGGGACACGAACTGGGGCTGTCATTTCGGCACAGCTGATGCTTCCGACTCAATTGAATGGTGTTATTGCATGACCTAAGCACCGCATATGACCCATCAACAGTTGCGCTTCCCATCTTCGTGCGGTGTTGGATGCAAGCACAGACATGCAACCAGATATGCAACCGGACATGGGCAACGAGTGAACAACGTGCGGTACACGAACTGGAGCTGTCATTTCGGCACAGATGATGATTCCGACTCAATTGAATGGCGTTATAGCATAACCTAAGCACCGCATCAAGAGCCAGCAGCAGTTGCGCTTCCCATCTTCGTGCGGTGTTGGATGCAAGCACAGACATGCAACCAGACATGCAACCAGACATGGGCAACGAGTGAACAACGTGCGGGACACGAACTGGAGCTGTCATTTCGGCACAGCTGATGACTCAATTGAATATTGTTATTGCATGACCTAAGCACCGCATCAAGACCCAGCAGCAGTTGCGCTTCCCATCTTCGTGCGGTGTTGGATGCAAGCACAGACATGCAACCAGACATGCAACCAGACATGGGCAACGAGTGAACAACGTGCGGGACACGAACTGAAGCTGTCATTTCGGCACAGATGATGATTCCGACTCAATTGAATGGTGTTATTGCATGACCCAAGCACCGCATCAAGACCCAGCAGCAGTTGCGCTTCCCATCTTCGTGCGGTGTTGGATGCAAGCACAGACATGCAACCAGACATGCAACCAGACATGGGCAACGAGTGAACAACGTGTAGTACACGAACTGGAGCTGTCATTTCGGCACAGCTGATGACTCAATTGAATGGTGTTATTGCATGACCTAAGCACCGCTTCAAGACCCAGCAGCAGTTGCGCTTCCCATCTTCGTGCGGTGTTGGATGCAAGCACAGACATGCAACCAGACATGCAACCAGGCATGGGCAACGAGTGAACAACGTGTAGTACACGAACTGGAGCTTTCATTTCGGCACAGCTGATGACTCAATTGAATGGTGTTATTGCATGACCTAAGCACCGCATCAAGACCCAGCAGCAGTTGCGCTTCCCATCTTCGTGCGGTGTTGGATGCAAGCACAGACATGCAACCAGGCATGGGCAACGAGTGAACAACGTGTAGTACACGAACTGGAGCTGTCATTTCGGCACAGCTGATGACTCAATTGAATGGTGTTATTGCATGACCTAAGCACCGCTTCAAGACCCAGCAGCAGTTGCGCTTCCCATCTTCGTGCGGTGTTGGATGCAAGCACAGACATGCAACCAGACATGCAACCAGGCATGGGCAACGAGTGAACAACGTGTAGTACACGAACTGGAGCTGTCATTTCGGCACAGCTGATGACTCATTTGAATGGTGTTATTGCATGACCTAAGCACCGCATCAAGTGCCAGCAACAGTTGCGCTTCCCATCTTCGTGCGGTGTTGGATGCAAGCACAGACATGCAACCAGACATGCAACCAGACATGGGCAACGAGTGAACAACGTGCGGGACACGAACTGGAGCTGTCATTTCGGCACAGCTGATGCTTCCGACTCAATTGAATGGTGTTATTGCATGACCCAAGCACCGCATCAAGACCCAGCAACAGTTGCGCTTCCCATCTTCGTGCGGTGTTGGATGCAAGCACAGACATGCAACCAGACATGCAACCAGACATGGGCAACGAGTGAACAACGTGTAGTACACGAACTGGAGCTGTCATTTCGGCACAGATGATGATTCCGACTCAATTGAATGGTGTTATTGCATGACCTAAGCACCGCATCAAGACCCAGCAGCAGTTGCGCTTCCCATCTTCGTGCGGTGTTGGATGCAAGCACAGACATGCAACCAGACATGCAACCAGACATGGGCAACGAGTGAACAACGTGCGGGACACGAACTGGAGCTGTCATTTCGGCACAGCTGATGCTTCCGACTCAATTGAATGGCGCTATAGCATGACCCAAGCACCGCATCAAGACCCAGCAACAGTTGCGCTTCCCATCTTCGTGCGGTGTTGGATGCAAGCACAGACATGAAACCAGACATGCAACCAGACATGGACAACGAGTGAACAACGTGTAGTACACGAACTGGAGCTGTCATTTCGGCATAGCTGGTGACTGAATTGAATGGTGTTATTGCATGACCCAAGCACCGCATCAAGACCCATCAACAGTTGCGCTTCCCATCTTCGTGCGGTGTTGGATGCAAGCACAGACATGCAACCAGACATGCAACCAGACATGGGCAACGAGTGAACAACGTGTAGGACACGAACTGGAGCTGTCATTTCGGCACAGCTGATGACTCAATTGAATGGTGTTATTGCATGACCTAAGCACCGCATCAAGACCCATCAACAGTTGCGCTTCCCATCTTCGTGCGGTGTTGGATGCAAGCACAGACATGCAACCAGATATGCAACCGGACATGGGCAACGAGTGAACAACGTGCGGTACACGAACTGGAGCTGTCATTTCGGCACAGATGATGCTTCCGACTCAATTGAATGGCGTTATAGCATAACCTAAGCACCGTATCAAGAGCCAGCAGCAGTTGCGCTTCCCATCTTCGTGCGGTGTTGGATGCAAGCACAGACATGCAACCAGACATGCAACCAGACATGGGCAACGAGTGAACAACGTGCGGGACACGAATTGTAGCTGTCATTTCGGCACAGCTGATGACTCATTTGAATGGTGTTATTGCATGACCTAAGCACCGCATCAAGACCCAGCAGCAGTTGCGCTTCCCATCTTCGTGCGGTGTTGGATGCAAGCACAGACATGCAACCAGATATGCAACCGGACATGGGCAACGAGTGAACAACGTGCGGTACACGAATTGTAGCTGTTGTTTCGGCACAGCTGATGACTCAATTGAATGGTGTTATTGCATGACCTAAGCGCCGCATCAAGACCCAGCAGCAGTTGCGCTTCCCATCTTCGTGCGGTGTTGGATGCAAGCACAGACATGCAACCAGATATGCAACCGGACATGGGCAACGAGTGAACAACGTGCGGTACACGAACTGGAGCTGTCATTTCGGCACAGCTGATGACTCAATTGAATGGTGTTATTGCATGACCTAAGCACCGCATCAAGACCCAGCAGCAGTTGCGCTTCCCATCTTCGTGCGGTGTTGGATGCAAGCACAGACATGCAACCAGACATGCAACCAGACATGGGCAACGAGTGAACAACGTGCGGTACACGAATTGTAGCTGTTGTTTCGGCACAGCTGATGACTCAATTGAATGGTGTTATTGCATGACCTAAGCGCCGAATCAAGATCCAGTAACAGGTGCGCTTCCCATCTTCGTGCGGTGTTGGATGCAAGCACAGACACGCAACCAGACATGCAACCAGACATGAGCAACGAGTGAACAACGTGTAGGACACGAACTGGAGCTGTCATTTCGGCACAGCTGATGATTTTGACTCATTCGAATGGTGTTATTGCATGACCTAAGCACCGCATCAAGACCCAGCAGCAGTTGCGCTTCCCATCTTCGTGCGGTGTTGGATGCAAGCACAGACATGCAACCAGACATGCAACCAGACATGGGTAACGAGTGAACAACGTGCGGGACACGAACTGGAGCTGTCATTTCGGCACAGCTGATGACTCAATTGAATGGTGTTATTGCATGACCTAAGCACCGCATCAAGACCCAGCAGCAGTTGCGCTTCCCATCTTCGTGCGGTGTTGGATGCAAGCACAGACATGCAACCAGACATGGTCAACGAGTGAACAACGTGCGGGACACGAACTGGAGCTGTCATTTCGGCACAGCTGATGACTCAATTGAATGGTGTTATTGCATGACCTAAGCACCGCATCAAGACCCATCAACAGTTGCGCTTTCCATCTTCGTGCGGTGTTGGATGCAAGCACAGACATGCAACCAGATATGCAACCGGACATGGGCAACGAGTGAACAACGTGCGGTACACGAACTGGAGCTGTCATTTCGGCACAGATGATGATTCCGACTCAATTGAATGGCGTTATAGCATAACCTAAGCACCGCATCAAGAGCCAGCAGCAGTTGCGCTTCCCATCTTCGTGCGGTGTTGGATGCAAGCACAGACATGCAACCAGATATGCAACCGGACATGGGCAACGAGTGAACAACGTGCGGGACACGAATTGTAGCTGTCATTTCGGCACAGCTGATGACTCATTGGAATGGTGTTATTGCATGACCTAAGCACCGCATCAAGACCCAGCAGCAGTTGCGCTTCCCATCTTCGTGCGGTGTTGGATGCAAGCACAGACATGCAACCAGATATGCAACCGGACATGGGCAACGAGTGAACAATGTGCGGTACACGAATTGTAGCTGTTGTTTCGGCACAGCTGATGACTCAATTGAATGGTGTTATTGCATGACCTAAGCGCCGCATCAAGACCCAGCAGCAGTTGCGCTTCCCATCTTCGTGCGGTGTTGGATGCAAGCACAGACATGCAACCAGATATGCAACCGGACATGGGCAACGAGTGAACAACGTGCGGTACACGAACTGGAGCTGTCATTTCGGCACAGCTGATGACTCAATTGAATGGTGTTATTGCATGACCTAAGCACCGCATCAAGACCCAGCAGCAGTTGCGCTTCCCATCTTCGTGCGGTGTTGGATGCAAGCACAGACATGCAACCAGACATGCAACCAGACATGGGCAACGATTGAACAACGTGCGGTACACGAATTGTAGCTGTTGTTTCGGCACAGCTGATGACTCAATTGAATGGTGTTATTGCATGACCTAAGCGCCGAATCAAGATCCAGTAACAGGTGCGCTTCCCATCTTCGTGCGGTGTTGGATGCAAGCACAGACACGCAACCAGACATGCAACCAGACATGAGCAACGAGTGAACAACGTGCGGTACACGAACTGGAGCTGTCATTTCGGCACAGCTGATGATTTTGACTCATTCGAATGGTGTTATTGCATGACCTAAGCACCGCATCAAGACCCAGCAGCAGTTGCGCTTCCCATCTTCGTGCGGTGTTGGATGCAAGCACAGACATGCAACCAGACATGCAACCAGACATGGGCAACGAGTGAACAACGTGCGGGACACGAACTGGAGCTGTCATTTCGGCACAGCTGATGACTCAATTGAATGGTGTTATTGCATGACCTAAGCACCGCATCAAGACCCAGCAGCAGTTGCGCTTCCCATCTTCGTGCGGTGTTGGATGCAAGCACAGACATGCAACCAGACATGCAACCAGACATGGGCAACGAGTGAACAACGTGTAGTACACGAACTGGAGCTGCCATTTCGGCACAGCTGATGACTCAATTGAATGGTGTTATTGCATGACCCAAGCACCGCATCAAGACCCAGCAACAGTTGCGCTTCCCATCTTCGTGCGGTGTTGGATGCAAGCACAGACATGCAACCAGACATGCAACCAGACATGGGCAACGAGTGAACAACGTGCGGGACACGAACTGGAGCTGTCATTTCGGCACAGCTGATGACTCAATTGAATGGTGTTATTGCATGACCTAAGCACCGCATCAAGACCCATCAACAGTTGCGCTTCCCATCTTCGTGCGGTGTTGGATGCAAGCACAGACATGCAACCAGACATGCAACCAGACATGGGCAACGAGTGAACAACGTGCGGGACACGAACTGGAGCTGTCATTTCGGCACAGATGATGATTCCGACTCAATTGAATGGTGTTATTGCATGACCCAAGCACCGCATCAAGACCGAGCAACAGTTGCGCTTCCCATCTTCGTGCGGTGTTGGATGCAAGCACAGACATGCAACCAGACATGCAACCAGACATGGGCAACGAGTGAACAACGTGTAGTACACGAACTGGAGCTGCCATTTCGGCACAGCTGATGACTCAATTGAATGGTGTTATTGCATGACCCAAGCACCGCATCAAGACCCAGCAACAGTTGCGCTTCCCATCTTCGTGCGGTGTTGGATGCAAGCACAGACATGCAACCAGACATGCAACCAGACATGGGCAACGAGTGAACAACGTGCGGGACACGAACTGGAGCTGTCATTTCGGCACAGATGATGATTCCGACTCAATTGAATGGTGTTATTGCATGACCTAAGCACCGCATCAAGACCCATCAACAGTTGCGCTTCCCATCTTCGTGCGGTGTTGGATGCAAGCACAGACATGCAACCAGATATGCAACCGGACATGGGCAACGAGTGAACAACGTGCGGTACACGAACTGGAGCTGTCATTTCGGCACATCTGATGACTCAATTGAATGGTGTTATTGCATGACCCAAGCACCGCATCAAGATCCAGCAACAGTTGCCCTTCCCATCTTCGTGCGGTGTTGGATGCAAGCACAGACATGCAACCAGACATGCAACCAGACATGGGCAACGAGTGAACAACGTGTACGACACGAACTGGAGCTGTCATTTCGGCACAGCTGATGACTCAATTGAATGGTGTTATTGCATGACCTAAGCACCGCATCAAGAGCCAGCAACAGTTGCCCTTCCCATCTTCGTGCGGTGTTGGATGCAAGCACAGACATGCAACCAGACATGCAACCAGACATGGGCAACGAGTGAACAACGTGTAGTACACGAACTGGAGCTGTCATTTCGGCACAGCTGATGACTCAATTGAATGGTGTTATTGCATGACCTAAGCACCGCATCAAGAGCCAGCAGCAGTTGCGCTTCCCATCTTCGTGCGGTGTTGGATGCAAGCACAGACATGCAACCAGACATGCAACCAGACATGGGCAACGAGTGAACAACGTGTACGACACGAACTGGAGCTGTCATTTCGGCACAGCTGATGACTCAATTGAATGGTGTTATTGCATGACCTAAGCACCGCATCAAGAGCCAGCAACAGTTGCCCTTCCCATCTTCGTGCGGTGTTGGATGCAAGCACAGACATGCAACCAGACATGCAACCAGACATGGGCAACGAGTGAACAACGTGTAGTACACGAACTGGAGCTGTCATTTCGGCACAGCTGATGACTCAATTGAATGGTGTTATTGCATGACCCAAGCACCGCATCAAGACCCAGCAACAGTTGCGCTTCCCATCTTCGTGCGGTGTTGGATGCAAGCACAGACATGCAACCAGACATGCAACCAGACATGGGCAACGAGTAAACAACGTGCGGGACACGAACTGGAGCTGTCATTTCGGCACAGCTGATGCTTCCGACTCAATTGAATGGTGTTATTGCATGACCCAAGCACCGCATCAAGACCCAGCAGCAGTTGCGCTTCCCATCTTCGTGCGGTGTTGGATGCAAGCACAGACATGCAACCAGACATGCAACCAGACATGGGCAACGAGTGAACAACGTGCGGTACACGAATTGTAGCTGTGATTTCGGCACAGCTGGTGACTCATTTGAATGGTGTTATTGCATGACCTAAGCACCGCATCAAGAGCCAGCAGAAGTTGCGCTTCCCATCTTCGTGCGGTGTTGGATGCAAGCACAGACATGCAACCAGACATGCAACCAGACATGGGCAACGAGTGAACAACGTGCGGGACACGAACTGGAGCTGTCATTTCGGCACAGCTGATGCTTCCGACTCAATTGAATGGTGTTATTGCATGACCCAAGCACCGCATCAAGACCCAGCAACAGTTGCGCTTCCCATCTTCGTGCGGTGTTGGATGCAAGCACAGACATGCAACCGGACATGCAACCAGACATGGGCAACGAGTGAACAACGTGCGGGACACGAACTGGAGCTGTCATTTCGGCACAGCTGATGACTCAATTGAATGGTGTTATTGCATGACCTAAGCACCGCATCAAGACCCAGCAGCAGTTGCGCTTCCCATCTTCGTGCGGTGTTGGATGCAAGCACAGACATGCAACCAGACATGCAACCAGACATGGGCAACGAGTAAACAACGTGCGGGACACGAACTGGAGCTGTCATTTCGGCACAGCTGATGACTCAATTGAATGGTGTTATTGCATGACCTAAGCACCGCATCAAGACCCAGCAGCAGTTGCGCTTCCCATCTTCGTGCGGTGTTGGATGCAAGCACAGACATGCAACCAGACATGCAACCAGACATGGGCAACGAGTGAACAACGTGTAGTACACGAACTGGAGCTGCCATTTCGGCACAGCTGATGACTCAATTGAATGGTGTTATTGCATGACCCAAGCACCGCATCAAGACCCAGCAACAGTTGCGCTTCCCATCTTCGTGCGGTGTTGGATGCAAGCACAGACATGCAACCAGACATGCAACCAGACATGGGCAACGAGTGAACAACGTGCGGGACACGAACTGGAGCTGTCATTTCGGCACAGATGATGATTCCGACTCAATTGAATGGTGTTATTGCATGACCCAAGCACCGCATCAAGACCGAGCAACAGTTGCGCTTCCCATCTTCGTGCGGTGTTGGATGCAAGCACAGACATGCAACCAGACATGCAACCAGACATGGGCAACGAGTGAACAACGTGTAGTACACGAACTGGAGCTGCCATTTCGGCACAGCTGATGACTCAATTGAATGGTGTTATTGCATGACCCAAGCACCGCATCAAGACCCAGCAACAGTTGCGCTTCCCATCTTCGTGCGGTGTTGGATGCAAGCACAGACATGCAACCAGACATGCAACCAGACATGGGCAACGAGTGAACAACGTGCGGGACACGAACTGGAGCTGTCATTTCGGCACAGATGATGATTCCGACTCAATTGAATGGTGTTATTGCATGACCCAAGCACCGCATCAAGACCCAGCAGCAGTTGCGCTTCCCATCTTCGTGCGGTGTTGGATGCAAGCACAGACATGCAACCAGATATGCAACCAGACATGGGCAACGAGTGAACAACGTGCGGTACACGAACTGGAGCTGTCATTTCGGCACAGCTGATGATTCCGACTCAATTGAATGGTGTTATTGCATGACCTAAGCACCGCATCAAGAGCCAGCAGCAGTTGCGCTTCCCATCTTCGTGCGGTGTTGGATGCAAGCACAGACATGCAACCAGACATGCAACCAGACATGGGCAACGAGTGAACAACGTGTACGACACGAACTGGAGCTGTCATTTCGGCACAGCTGATGACTCAATTGAATGGTGTTATTGCATGACCTAAGCACCGCATCAAGAGCCAGCAACAGTTGCCCTTCCCATCTTCGTGCGGTGTTGGATGCAAGCACAGACATGCAACCAGACATGCAACCAGACATGGGCAACGAGTGAACAACGTGTAGTACACGAACTGGAGCTGTCATTTCGGCACAGCTGATGACTCAATTGAATGGTGTTATTGCATGACCCAAGCACCGCATCAAGACCCAGCAACAGTTGCGCTTCCCATCTTCGTGCGGTGTTGGATGCAAGCACAGACATGCAACCAGACATGCAACCAGACATGGGCAACGAGTAAACAACGTGCGGGACACGAACTGGAGCTGTCATTTCGGCACAGCTGATGCTTCCGACTCAATTGAATGGTGTTATTGCATGACCCAAGCACCGCATCAAGACCCAGCAGCAGTTGCGCTTCCCATCTTCGTGCGGTGTTGGATGCAAGCACAGACATGCAACCAGACATGCAACCAGACATGGGCAACGAGTGAACAACGTGCGGTACACGAATTGTAGCTGTGATTTCGGCACAGCTGGTGACTCATTTGAATGGTGTTATTGCATGACCTAAGCACCGCATCAAGAGCCAGCAGAAGTTGCGCTTCCCATCTTCGTGCGGTGTTGGATGCAAGCACAGACATGCAACCAGACATGCAACCAGACATGGGCAACGAGTGAACAACGTGCGGGACACGAACTGGAGCTGTCATTTCGGCACAGCTGATGCTTCCGACTCAATTGAATGGTGTTATTGCATGACCCAAGCACCGCATCAAGACCCAGCAACAGTTGCGCTTCCCATCTTCGTGCGGTGTTGGATGCAAGCACAGACATGCAACCGGACATGCAACCAGACATGGGCAACGAGTGAACAACGTGCGGGACACGAACTGGAGCTGTCATTTCGGCACAGCTGATGACTCAATTGAATGGTGTTATTGCATGACCTAAGCACCGCATCAAGACCCAGCAGCAGTTGCGCTTCCCATCTTCGTGCGGTGTTGGATGCAAGCACAGACATGCAACCAGACATGGTCAACGAGTGAACAACGTGCGGGACACGAACTGGAGCTGTCATTTCGGCACAGCTGATGACTCAATTGAATGGTGTTATTGCATGACCCAAGCACCGCATCAAGACCCATCAAAAGTTGCGCTTTCCATCTTCGTGCGGTGTTGGATGCAAGCACAGACATGCAACCAGATATGCAACCGGACATGGCAACGAGTGAACAACGTGCGGTACACGAACTGGAGCTGTCATTTCGGCACAGATGATGATTCCGACTCAATTGAATGGCGTTATAGCATAACCTAAGCACCGCATCAAGAGCCAGCAGCAGTTGCGCTTCCCATCTTCGTGCGGTGTTGGATGCAAGCACAGACATGCAACCAGACATGCAACCAGACATGGGCAACGAGTGAACAACGTGCGGTACACGAACTGGAGCTGTCATTTCGGCACAGCTGATGACTCAATTGAATGGTGTTATTGCATGACCTAAGCACCGCATCAAGACCCAGCAGCAGTTGCGCTTCCCATCTTCGTGCGGTGTTGGATGCAAGCATAGACATGCAATTAGACATGCAACCAGACATGGGCAACGAGTGAACAACGTGCGGTACACGAATTGTAGCTGTTGTTTCGGCACAGCTGGTGACTCATTTGAATGGTGTTATTGCATGACCTAAGCACCGCATCAAGTGCCAGCAGAAGTTGCGCTTCCCATCTTCGTGCGGTGTTGGATGCAAGCACAGACATGCAACCAGACATGCAACCAGACATGGGCAACGAGTGAACAACGTGCGGGACACGAACTGGAGCTGTCATTTCGGCACAGCTGATGACTCAATTGAATGGTGTTATTGCATGACCCAAGCACCGCATCAAGACCCAGCAACAGTTGCGCTTCCCATCTTCGTGCGGTGTTGGATGCAAGCACAGACATGCAACCAGACATGCAACCAGACATGGGCAACGAGTGAACAACGTGCGGTACACGAACTGGAGCTGTCATTTCGGCACAGCTGATGACTCAATTGAATGGTGTTATTGCATGACCCAAGCACCGCATCAAGACCCAGCAACAGTTGCGCTTCCCATCTTCGTGCGGTGTTGGATGCAAGCACAGACATGCAACCAGACATGCAACCAGACATGGGCAACGAGTGAACAACGTGCGGGACACGAACTGGAGCTGTCATTTCGGCACAGCTGATGACTCAATTGAATGGTGTTATTGCATGACCTAAGCACCGCATCAAGACCCATCAACAGTTGCGCTTCCCATCTTCGTGCGGTGTTGGATGCAAGCACAGACATGCAACCAGATATGCAACCGGACATGGGCAACGAGTGAACAACGTGTAGGACACGAACTGGAGCTGTCATTTCGGCACAGCTGATGACTCAATTGAATGGTGTTATTGCATGACCTAAGCACCGCATCAAGACCCAGCAGCAGTTGCGCTTCCCATCTTCGTGCGGTGTTGGATGCAAGCACAGACATGCAACCAGACATGGTCAACGAGTGAACAACGTGCGGGACACGAACTGGAGCTGTCATTTCGGCACAGCTGATGACTCAATTGAATGGTGTTATTGCATGACCCAAGCACCGCATCAAGACCCATCAAAAGTTGCGCTTTCCATCTTCGTGCGGTGTTGGATGCAAGCACAGACATGCAACCAGACATGCAACCAGACATGGGCAACGAGTGAACAACGTGCGGGACACGAACTGGAGCTGTCATTTCGGCACAGGTGATAATTCCGACTCAATTGAATGGCGTTATTGCATGACCTAAGCACCGCATCAAGACCCAGCAGCAGTTGCGCTTCCCATCTTCGTGCGGTGTTGGATGCAAGCACAGACATGCAACCAGACATGCAACCAGACATGGGCAACGAGTGAACAACGTGTAGTACACGAACTGGAGCTGTCATTTCGGCACAGCTGATGACTCAATTGAATGGTGTTATTGCATGACCTAAGCACCGCATCAAGACCCAGCAGCAGTTGCGCTTCCCATCTTCGTGCGGTGTTGGATGCAAGCACAGACATGCAACCAGATATGCAACCGGACATGGGCAACGAGTGAACAACGTGTAGGACACGAACTGGAGCTGTCATTTCGGCACAGCTGATGACTCAATTGAATGGTGTTATTGCATGACCTAAGCACCGCATCAAGACCCAGCAGCAGTTGCGCTTCCCATCTTCGTGCGGTGTTGGATGCAAGCACAGACATGCAACCAGACATGCAACCAGACATGGGCAACGAGTGAACAACGTGCGGTACACGAATTGTAGCTGTTGTTTCGGCACAGCTGATGACTCAATTGAATGGTGTTATTGCATGACCTAAGCGCCGAATCAAGATCCAGTAACAGTTGTGCTTCCCATCTTCGTGCGGTGTTGGATGCAAGCACAGACATGCAACCAGACATGCAACCAGACATGGGCAACGAGTGAACAACGTGCGGGACACGAACTGGAGCTGTCATTTCGGCACAGCTGATGCTTCCGACTCAATTGAATGGTGTTATTGCATGACCCAAGCACCGCATCAAGACCCAGCAACAGTTGCGCTTCCCATCTTCGTGCGGTGTTGGATGCAAGCACAGACATGCAACCAGACATGCAACCAGACATGGGCAACGAGTGAACAACGTGCGGGACACGAACTGGAGCTGTCATTTCGGCACAGCTGATGCTTCCGACTCAATTGAATGGTGTTATTGCATGACCCAAGCACCGCATCAAGACCCAGCAACAGTTGCGCTTCCCATCTTCGTGCGGTGTTGGATGCAAGCACAGACATGCAACCAGACATGCAACCAGACATGGGCAACGAGTGAACAACGTGCGGGACACGAACTGGAGCTGTCATTTCGGCACAGCTGATGACTCAATTGAATGGTGTTATTGCATGACCCAAGCACCGCATCAAGACCCAGCAACAGTTGCGCTTCCCATCTTCGTGCGGTGTTGGATGCAAGCACAGACATGCAACCAGACATGCAACCAGACATGGGCAACGAGTGAACAACGTGCGGTACACGAATTGTAGCTGTTGTTTCGGCACAGCTGATGACTCATTTGAATGGTGTTATTGCATGACCTAAGCACCGCATCAAGACCCAGCAACAGTTGCGCTTCCCATCTTCGTGCGGTGTTGGATGCAAGCACAGACATGCAACCAGATATGCAACCGGACATGGGCAACGAGTGAACAACGTGCGGGACACGAACTGGAGCTGTCATTTCGGCACAGCTGATGACTCAATTGAATGGTGTTATTGCATGACCTAAGCACCGCATCAAGACCCAGCAGCAGTTGCGCTTCCCATCTTCGTGCGGTGTTGGATGCAAGCACAGACATGCAACCAGACATGCAACCAGACATGGGCAACGAGTGAACAACGTGCGGTACACGAATTGTAGCTGTTGTTTCGGCACAGCTGGTGACTCATTTGAATGGTGTTATTGCATGACCTAAGCACCGCATCAAGAGCCAGCAGAAGTTGCGCTTCCCATCTTCGTGCGGTGTTGGATGCAAGCACAGACATGCAACCAGACATGCAACCAGACATGGGCAACGAGTGAACAACGTGCGGGACACGAACTGGAGCTGTCATTTCGGCACAGCTGATGCTTCCGACTCAATTGAATGGTGTTATTGCATGACCCAAGCACCGCATCAAGACCCAGCAACAGTTGCGCTTCCCATCTTCGTGCGGTGTTGGATGCAAGCACAGACATGCAACCAGACATGCAACCAGACATGGGCAACGAGTGAACAACGTGCGGTACACGAATTGTAGCTGTCATTTCGGCACATCTGATGACTCAATTGAATGGTGTTATTGCATGACCTAAGCACCGCATCAAGACCCAGCAACAGTTGCGCTTCCCATCTTCGTGCGGTGTTGGATGCAAGCACAGACATGCAACCAGACATGCAACCAGACATGGGCAACGAGTGAACAACGTGCGGTACACGAACTGGAGCTGTCATTTCGGCACAGCTGATGATTCCGACTCAATTGAATGGTGTTATTGCATGACCTAAGCACCGCATCAAGACCCAGCAACAGTTGCGCTTCCCATCTTCGTGCGGTGTTGGATGCAAGCACAGACATGCAACCAGACATGCAACCAGACATGGGCAACGAGTGAACAACGTGCGGTACACGAACTGGAGCTGTCATTTCGGCACAGCTGATGGTTCCGACTCATTTGAATGGTGTTATTGCATGACCTAAGCACCGCATCAAGACCCAGCAACAGTTGCGCTTCCCATCTTCGTGCGGTGTTGGATGCAAGCACAGACATGCAACCAGATATGCAACCAGACATGGGCAACGAGTGAACAACGTGCAATACACGAACTGGAGCTGTCATTTCGGCACAGCCGATGGTTCCGACTCATCAAGAGGTGTTATTGCATGACCTAAGCACCGCATCAAGAGCCAGCAACAGTTGCGCTTCCCATCTTCGTGCGGTGTTGGATGCAAGCACAGACATGCAACCAGACATGCAACCAGACATGGGCAACGAGTGAACAACGTGCGGTACACGAACTGGAGCTGTCATTTCGGCACAGCTGATGCTTCCGACTCAATTGAATGGTGTTATTGCATGACCTAAGCACCGCATCAAGACCCAGCAACAGTTGCGCTTCCCATCTTCGTGCGGTGTTGGATGCAAGCACAGACATGCAACCAGACATGCAACCAGACATGGGCAACGAGTGAACAACGTGCGGTACACGAACTGGAGCTGTCATTTCGGCACAGCTGATAGACTCAATTGAATGGTGTTATTGCATGACCTAAGCACCGCATCAAGAGCCAGCAACAGTTGCGCTTCCCATCTTCGTGCGGTGTTGGATGCAAGCACAGACATGCAACCAGACATGCAAGAATGCAACCAGACATGGGCAACGGGTGAACAACGTGTAGTACACGACTTGGAGCTGTCATTTCGGCACAGCTGATGATTCCGACTCAATTGAATGGTGTTATTGCATGACCTAAGCACCGCATCAAGACCCAGCAACAGTTGCGCTTCCCATCTTCGTGCGGTGTTGGATGCAAGCACAGACATGCAACCAGATATGCAACCAGACATGGGCAACGAGTGAACAACGTGCGGTACACGAACTGGAGCTGTCATTTCGGCACAGCCGATGGTTCCGACTCATCAAGAGGTGTTATTGCATGACCTAAGCACCGCATCAAGAGCCAGCAACAGTTGCGCTTCCCATCTTCGTGCGGTGTTGGATGCAAGCACAGACATGCAACCAGACATGCAACCAGACATGGGCAACGAGTGAACAACGTGCAATACACGAACTGGAGCTGTCATTTCGGCACAGCTGATGATTCCGACTCAATTGAATGGTGTTATTGCATGACCTAAGCACCGCATCAAGAGCCAGCAACAGTTGCGCTTCCCATCTTCGTGCGGTGTTGGATGCAAGCACATACATGCAACCAGACATGCAACCAGAATGCAACCAGACATGGGCAACGGGTGAACAACGTGTAGTACACGACTTGGAGCTGTCATTTCGGCACAGCTGATGATTCCGACTCAATTGAATGGTGTTATTGCATGACCTAAGCACCGCATCAAGACCCAGCAACAGTTGCGCTTCCCATCTTCGTGCGGTGTTGGATGCAACCACAGACATGCAACCAGACATGCAACCAGACATGGGCAACGAGTGAACAACGTGCGGTACACGAACTGGAGCTGTCATTTCGGCACAGCTGATGATTCCGACTCAATTGAATGGTGTTATTGCATGACCTAAGCACCGCATCAAGAGCCAGCAACAGTTGCGCTTCCCATCTTCGTGCGGTGTTGGATGCAAGCACAGACATGCAACCAGACATGCAACCAGACATGGGCAACGAGTGAACAACGTGTAGTACACGACTTGGAGCTGTCATTTCGGCACAGCTGATGATTCCGACTCAATTGAATGGTGTTATTGCATGACCTAAGCACCGCATCAAGACCCAGCAACAGTTGCGCTTCCCATCTTCGTGCGGTGTTGGATGCAACCACAGACATGCAACCAGACATGCAACCAGACATGGGCAACGAGTGAACAACGTGCGGTACACGAACTGGAGCTGTCATTTCGGCACAGCTGATGATTCCGACTCAATTGAATGGTGTTATTGCATGACCTAAGCACCGCATCAAGAGCCAGCAACAGTTGCGCTTCCCATCTTCGTGCGGTGTTGGATGCAACCACAGACATGCAACCAGACATGCAACCAGACATGGGTAACGAGTGAACAACGTGCAATACACGAACTGGAGCTGTCATTTCGGCACAGCCGATGGTTCCGACTTATTTGAATGGTGTTATTGCATGACCTAAGCACCGCATCAAGAGCCAGCAACAGTTGCGCTTCCCATCTTCGTGCGGTGTTGGATGCAAGCACAGACATGCAACCAGACATGCAACCAGACATGGGCAACGAGTGAACAACGTGCAATACACGAACTGGAGCTGTCATTTCGGCACAGCTGATGATTCCGACTCAATTGAATGGTGTTATTGCATGACCTAAGCACCGCATCAAGAGCCAGCAACAGTTGCGCTTCCCATCTTCGTGCGGTGCTGGATGCAAGCACAGACATGCAACCAGACATGCAACCAGACATGGGCAACGAGTGAACAACGTGCAATACACGAACTGGAGCTGTCATTTCGGCACAGCTGATGATTCCGACTCAATTGAATGGTGTTATTGCATGACCTAAGCACCGCATCAAGAGCCAGCAACAGTTGCGCTTCCCATCTTCGTGCGGTGTTGGATGCAAGCACAGACATGCAACCAGACATGATGCAACCAGACATGGGCAACGAGTGAACAACGTGTAGTACACGAACTTGGAGCTGTCATTTCGGCACAGCTGATGATTCCGACTCAATTGAATGGTGTTATTGCATGACCTAAGCACCGCATCAAGACCCAGCAACAGTTGCGCTTCCCATCTTCGTGCGGTGTTGGATGCAACCACAGACATGCAACCAGACATGCAACCAGACATGGGCAACGAGTGAACAACGTGCAATACACGAACTGGAGCTGTCATTTCGGCACAGCTGATGATTCCGACTCAATTGAATGGTGTTATTGCATGACCTAAGCACCGCATCAAGAGCCAGCAACAGTTGCGCTTCCCATCTTCGTGCGGTGTTGGATGCAAGCACAGACATGCAACCAGACATGCAACCAGACATGGGCAACGAGTGAACAACGTGTAGTACACGACTTGGAGCTGTCATTTCGGCACAGCTGATGATTCCGACTCAATTGAATGGTGTTATTGCATGACCTAAGCACCGCATCAAGAGCCAGCAACAGTTGCGCTTCCCATCTTCGTGCGGTGTTGGATGCAAGCACAGACATGCAACCAGACATGCAACCAGACATGGGCAACGAGTGAACAACGTGCAGTACACGAACTGGAGCTGTCATTTCGGCACAGCTGATGATTCCGACTCAATTGAATGGTGTTATTGCATGACCTAAGCACCGCATCAAGAGCCAGCAACAGTTGCGCTTCCCATCTTCGTGCGGTGTTGGATGCAACCACAGACATGCAACCAGACATGCAACCAGACATGGGTAACGAGTGAACAACGTGCAATACACGAACTGGAGCTGTCATTTCGGCACAGCTGATGGTTCCGACTCATCAAGAGGTGTTATTGCATGACCTAAGCACCGCATCAAGAGCCAGCAACAGTTGCGCTTCCCATCTTCGTGCGGTGTTGGATGCAAGCACAGACATGCAACCAGACATGCAACCAGACATGGGCAACGAGTGAACAACGTGCAATACACGAACTGGAGCTGTCATTTCGGCACAGCTGATGATTCCGACTCAATTGAATGGTGTTATTGCATGACCTAAGCACCGCATCAAGACCCAGCAACAGTTGCGCTTCCCATCTTCGTGCGGTGTTGGATGCAAGCACATACATGCAACCAGACATGCAACCAGACATGCAACCAGACATGGGCAACGAGTGAACAACGTGCAATACACGAACTGGAGCTGTCATTTCGGCACAGCTGATGATTCCGACTCAATTGAATGGTGTTATTGCATGACCTAAGCACCGCATCAAGACCCAGCAACAGTTGCGCTTCCCATCTTCGTGCGGTGTTGGATGCAACCACAGACATGCAACCAGACATGCAACCAGACATGGGCAACGAGTGAACAACGTGCAGTACACGAACTGGAGCTGTCATTTCGGCACAGCTGATGATTCCGACTCAATTGAATGGTGTTATTGCATGACCTAAGCACCGCATCAAGAGCCAGCAACAGTTGCGCTTCCCATCTTCGTGCGGTGTTGGATGCAAGCACAGACATGCAACCAGACATGCAACCAGACATGGGCAACGAGTGAACAACGTGCAGTACACGAACTGGAGCTGTCATTTCGGCACAGCTGATGATTCCGACTCAATTGAATGGTGTTATTGCATGACCTAAGCACCGCATCAAGAGCCAGCAACAGTTGCGCTTCCCATCTTCGTGCGGTGTTGGATGCAACCACAGACATGCAACCAGACATGCAACCAGACATGGGCAACGAGTGAACAACGTGCAATACACGAACTGGAGCTGTCATTTCGGCACAGCCGATGGTTCCGACTCATCAAGAGGTGTTATTGCGTGACCTAAGCACCGCATCAAGACCCAGCAACAGTTGCGCTTCCCATCTTCGTGCGGTGTTGGATGCAAGCACAGACATGCAACCAGACATGCAACCAGACATGGGCAACGAGTGAACAACGTGTAGTACACGACTTGGAGCTGTCATTTCGGCACAGCTGATGATTCCGACTTATTTGAATGGTGTTATTGCATGACCTAAGCACCGCATCAAGAGCCAGCAACAGTTGCGCTTCCCATCTTCGTGCGGTGCTGGATGCAACCACAGACATGCAACCAGACATGCAACCAGACATGGGTAACGAGTGAACAACGTGCAGTACACGAACTGGAGCTGTCATTTCGGCACAGCTGATGGTTCCGACTCATCAAGAGGTGTTATTGCGTGACCTAAGCACCGCATCAAGAGCCAGCAACAGTTGCGCTTCCCATCTTCGTGCGGTGTTGGATGCAAGCACAGACATGCAACCAGACATGCAACCAGACATGGGCAACGAGTGAACAACGTGCAATACACGAACTGGAGCTGTCATTTCGGCACAGCCGATGGTTCCGACTCATCAAGAGGTGTTATTGCGTGACCTAAGCACCGCATCAAGAGCCAGCAACAGTTGCGCTTCCCATCTTCGTGCGGTGTTGGATGCAAGCACAGACATGCAACCAGACATGCAACCAGACATGGGCAACGAGTGAACAACGTGCAATACACGAACTGGAGCTGTCATTTCGGCACAGCTGATGATTCCGACTCATCAAGAGGTGTTATTGCATGACCTAAGCACCGCATCAAGAGCCAGCAACAGTTGCGCTTCCCATCTTCGTGCGGTGTTGGATGCAAGCACAGACATGCAACCAGACATGCAACCAGACATGGGCAACGAGTGAACAACGTGTAGTACACGAACTGGAGCTGTCATTTCGGCACAGCTGATGATTCCGACTCAATTGAATGGTGTTATTGCATGACCTAAGCACCGCATCAAGAGCCAGCAACAGTTGCGCTTCCCATCTTCGTGCGGTGTTGGATGCAAGCACAGACATGCAACCAGACATGCAACCAGACATGGGCAACGAGTGAACAACGTGCAATACACGAACTGGAGCTGTCATTTCGGCACAGCTGATGATTCCGACTCATCAAGAGGTGTTATTGCGTGACCTAAGCACCGCATCAAGAGCCAGCAACAGTTGCGCTTCCCATCTTCGTGCGGTGTTGGATGCAAGCACAGACATGCAACCAGACATGCAACCAGACATGGGCAACGAGTGAACAACGTGTAGTACACGAACTGGAGCTGTCATTTCGGCACAGCTGATGATTCCGACTCAATTGAATGGTGTTATTGCATGACCTAAGCACCGCATCAAGAGCCAGCAACAGTTGCGCTTCCCATCTTCGTGCGGTGTTGGATGCAACCACAGACATGCAACCAGACATGCAACCAGACATGGGCAACGAGTGAACAACGTGCAATACACGAACTGGAGCTGTCATTTCGGCACAGCTGATGATTCCGACTCAATTAAATGGTGTTATTGCATGACCTAAGCACCGCATCAAGAGCCAGCAACAGTTGCGCTTCCCATCTTCGTGCGGTGTTGGATGCAAGCACAGACATGCAACCAGACATGCAACCAGACATGGGCAACGAGTGAACAACGTGCAATACACGAACTGGAGCTGTCATTTCGGCACAGCTGATGATTCCGACTCATCAAGAGGTGTTATTGCGTGACCTAAGCACCGCATCAAGAGCCAGCAACAGTTGCGCTTCCCATCTTCGTGCGGTGCTGGATGCAACCACAGACATGCAACCAGACATGGGTAACGAGTGAACAACGTGCAATACACGAACTGGAGCTGTCATTTCGGCACAGCTGATGATTCCGACTTATTTGAATGGTGTTATTGCATGACCTAAGCACCGCATCAAGAGCCAGCAACAGTTGCGCTTCCCATCTTCGTGCGGTGTTGGATGCAAGCACAGACATGCAACCAGACATGCAACCAGACATGGGCAACGAGTGAACAACGTGTAGTACACGAACTGGAGCTGTCATTTCGGCACAGCTGATGATTCCGACTCAATTGAATGGTGTTATTGCATGACCTAAGCACCGCATCAAGAGCCAGCAACAGTTGCGCTTCCCATCTTCGTGCGGTGTTGGATGCAAGCACAGACATGCAACCAGACATGCAACCAGACATGGGCAACGAGTGAACAACGTGCAATACACGAACTGGAGCTGTCATTTCGGCACAGCTGATGATTCCGACTCAATTGAATGGTGTTATTGCATGACCTAAGCACCGCATCAAGAGCCAGCAACAGTTGCGCTTCCCATCTTCGTGCGGTGTTGGATGCAAGCACAGACATGCAACCAGACATGCAACCAGACATGGGCAACGAGTGAACAACGTGCAATACACGAACTGGAGCTGTCATTTCGGCACAGCTGATGATTCCGACTCAATTGAATGGTGTTATTGCATGACCTAAGCACCGCATCAAGACCCAGCAACAGTTGCGCTTCCCATCTTCGTGCGGTGTTGGATGCAAGCACAGACATGCAACCAGACATGCAACCAGACATGGGCAACGAGTGAACAACGTGTGAGTACACGAACTGGAGCTGTCATTTCGGCACAGCTGATGATTCCGACTCAATTGAATGGTGTTATTGCATGACCTAAGCACCGCATCAAGAGCCAGCAACAGTTGCGCTTCCCATCTTCGTGCGGTGTTGGATGCAACCACAGACATGCAACCAGACATGCAACCAGACATGGGCAACGAGTGAACAACGTGTAGTACACGAACTGGAGCTGTCATTTCGGCACAGCTGATGATTCCGACTCAATTGAATGGTGTTATTGCATGACCTAAGCACCGCATCAAGACCCAGCAACAGTTGCGCTTCCCATCTTCGTGCGGTGTTGGATGCAAGCACAGACATGCAACCAGACATGCAACCAGACATGGGCAACGAGTGAACAACGTGCAATACACGAACTGGAGCTGTCATTTCGGCACAGCGATGATTCCTCCGACTCATTTGAATGGTGTTATTGCATGACCTAAGCACCGCATCAAGAGCCAGCAACAGTTGCGCTTCCCATCTTCGTGCGGTGTTGGATGCAAGCACAGACATGCAACCAGACATGCAACCAGACATGGGCAACGAGTGAACAACGTGCAGTACACGAACTGGAGCTGTCATTTCGGCACAGCTGATGATTCCGACTCAATTGAATGGTGTTATTGCATGACCTAAGCACCGCATCAAGACCCAGCAACAGTTGCGCTTCCCATCTTCGTGCGGTGTTGGATGCAAGCACAGACATGCAACCAGACATGGGCAACGAGTGAACAACGTGTAGTACACGAACTGGAGCTGTCATTTCGGCACAGCTGATGATTCCGACTCAATTGAATGGTGTTATTGCATGACCTAAGCACCGCATCAAGACCCAGCAACAGTTGCGCTTCCCATCTTCGTGCGGTGTTGGATGCAAGCACAGACATGCAACCAGACATGCAACCAGACATGGGCAACGAGTGAACAACGTGCAATACACGAACTGGAGCTGTCATTTCGGCACAGCTGATGATTCCGACTCAATTGAATGGTGTTATTGCATGACCTAAGCACCGCATCAAGAGCCAGCAACAGTTGCGCTTCCCATCTTCGTGCGGTGTTGGATGCAAGCACAGACATGCAACCAGACATGCAACCAGACATGGGCAACGAGTGAACAACGTGTAGTACACGAACTGGAGCTGTCATTTCGGCACAGCTGATGATTCCGACTCAATTGAATGGTGTTATTGCATGACCTAAGCACCGCATCAAGACCCAGCAACAGTTGCGCTTCCCATCTTCGTGCGGTGTTGGATGCAAGCACAGACATGCAACCAGACATGCAACCAGACATGGGCAACGAGTGAACAACGTGTAGTACACGAACTGGAGCTGTCATTTCGGCACAGCCGATGGTTCCGACTCATCAAGAGGTGTTATTGCATGACCTAAGCACCGCATCAAGACCCAGCAACAGTTGCGCTTCCCATCTTCGTGCGGTGTTGGATGCAAGCACAGACATGCAACCAGACATGGGCAACGAGTGAACAACGTGTAGTACACGAACTGGAGCTGTCATTTCGGCACAGCTGATGATTCCGACTCAATTGAATGGTGTTATTGCATGACCTAAGCACCGCATCAAGACCCAGCAACAGTTGCGCTTCCCATCTTCGTGCGGTGTTGGATGCAACCACAGACATGCAACCAGACATGCAACCAGACATGGGCAACGAGTGAACAACGTGCAGTACACGAACTGGAGCTGTCATTTCGGCACAGCTGATGATTCCGACTCAATTGAATGGTGTTATTGCATGACCTAAGCACCGCATCAAGAGCCAGCAACAGTTGCGCTTCCCATCTTCGTGCGGTGTTGGATGCAAGCACAGACATGCAACCAGACATGCAACCAGACATGGGCAACGAGTGAACAACGTGCGGTACACGAACTGGAGCTGTCATTTCGGCACAGCTGATGATTCCGACTCAATTGAATGGTGTTATTGCATGACCTAAGCACCGCATCAAGAGCCAGCAACAGTTGCGCTTCCCATCTTCGTGCGGTGTTGGATGCAAGCACAGACATGCAACCAGACATGCAACCAGACATGGGCAACGAGTGAACAACGTGCAATACACGAACTGGAGCTGTCATTTCGGCACAGCTGATGATTCCGACTCAATTGAATGGTGTTATTGCATGACCTAAGCACCGCATCAAGACCCAGCAACAGTTGCGCTTCCCATCTTCGTGCGGTGTTGGATGCAAGCACAGACATGCAACCAGACATGCAACCAGACATGGGCAACGAGTGAACAACGTGCAGTACACGAACTGGAGCTGTCATTTCGGCACAGCTGATGATTCCGACTCAATTGAATGGTGTTATTGCATGACCTAAGCACCGCATCAAGACCCAGCAACAGTTGCGCTTCCCATCTTCGTGCGGTGTTGGATGCAAGCACAGACATGCAACCAGACATGCAACCAGACATGGGCAACGAGTGAACAACGTGCGGTACACGAACTGGAGCTGTCATTTCGGCACAGCTGATGATTCCGACTCAATTGAATGGTGTTATTGCATGACCTAAGCACCGCATCAAGACCCAGCAACAGTTGCGCTTCCCATCTTCGTGCGGTGTTGGATGCAAGCACAGACATGCAACCAGACATGCAACCAGACATGGGCAACGAGTGAACAACGTGTAGTACACGAACTGGAGCTGTCATTTCGGCACAGCTGATGATTCCGACTCAATTGAATGGTGTTATTGCATGACCTAAGCACCGCATCAAGACCCAGCAACAGTTGCGCTTCCCATCTTCGTGCGGTGTTGGATGCAAGCACAGACATGCAACCAGACATGGGCAACGAGTGAACAACGTGCGGGACACGAACTGGAGCTGTCATTTCGGCACAGCTGATGATTCGACTCAATTGAATGGTGTTATTGCATGACCTAAGCACCGCATCAAGACCCAGCAACAGTTGCGCTTCCCATCTTCGTGCGGTGTTGGATGCAAGCACAGACATGCAACCAGACATGGGCAACGAGTGAACAACGTGCAGTACACGAACTGGAGCTGTCATTTCGGCACAGCTGATGATTCCGACTCAATTGAATGGTGTTATTGCATGACCTAAGCACCGCATCAAGACCCAGCAACAGTTGCGCTTCCCATCTTCGTGCGGTGTTGGATGCAAGCACAGACATGCAACCAGACATGCAACCAGACATGGGCAACGAGTGAACAACGTGCGGTACACGAACTGGAGCTGTCATTTCGGCACAGCTGATGATTCCGACTCAATTGAATGGTGTTATTGCATGACCTAAGCACCGCATCAAGAGCCAGCAACAGTTGCGCTTCCCATCTTCGTGCGGTGTTGGATGCAAGCACAGACATGCAACCAGACATGCAACCAGACATGGGCAACGAGTGAACAACGTGCGGTACACGAACTGGAGCTGTCATTTCGGCACAGCTGATGATTCCGACTCAATTGAATGGTGTTATTGCATGACCTAAGCACCGCATCAAGAGCCAGCAACAGTTGCGCTTCCCATCTTCGTGCGGTGTTGGATGCAAGCACAGACATGCAACCAGACATGCAACCAGACATGGGCAACGAGTGAACAACGTGCAGTACACGAACTGGAGCTGTCATTTCGGCACAGCTGATGATTCCGACTCAATTGAATGGTGTTATTGCATGACCTAAGCACCGCATCAAGACCCAGCAACAGTTGCGCTTCCCATCTTCGTGCGGTGTTGGATGCAAGCACAGACATGCAACCAGACATGGGCAACGAGTGAACAACGTGCAGTACACGAACTGGAGCTGTCATTTCGGCACAGCTGATGATTCCGACTCAATTGAATGGTGTTATTGCATGACCTAAGCACCGCATCAAGACCCAGCAACAGTTGCGCTTCCCATCTTCGTGCGGTGTTGGATGCAAGCACAGACATGCAACCAGATATGCAACCAGACATGGGCAACGAGTGAACAACGTGCGGTACACGAACTGGAGCTGTCATTTCGGCACAGCTGATGATTCCGACTCAATTGAATGGTGTTATTGCATGACCTAAGCACCGCATCAAGAGCCAGCAACAGTTGCGCTTCCCATCTTCGTGCGGTGTTGGATGCAAGCACAGACATGCAACCAGACATGCAACCAGACATGGGCAACGAGTGAACAACGTGCGGTACACGAACTGGAGCTGTCATTTCGGCACAGCTGATGATTCCGACTCAATTGAATGGTGTTATTGCATGACCTAAGCACCGCATCAAGACCCAGCAACAGTTGCGCTTCCCATCTTCGTGCGGTGTTGGATGCAAGCACAGACATGCAACCAGACATGCAACCAGACATGGGCAACGAGTGAACAACGTGCAGTACACGAACTGGAGCTGTCATTTCGGCACAGCTGATGATTCCGACTCAATTGAATGGTGTTATTGCATGACCTAAGCACCGCATCAAGACCCAGCAACAGTTGCGCTTCCCATCTTCGTGCGGTGTTGGATGCAAGCACATACATGCAACCAGATATGCAACCAGACATGGGTAACGAGTGAACAACGTGCAATACACGAACTGGAGCTGTCATTTCGGCACAGCTGATGATTCCGACTCATTTGAATGGTGTTATTGCATGACCTAAGCACCGCATCAAGAGCCAGCAACAGTTGCGCTTCCCATCTTCGTGCGGTGTTGGATGCAAGCACAGACATGCAACCAGACATGCAACCAGACATGGGCAACGAGTGAACAACGTGTAGTACACGAACTGGAGCTGTCATTTCGGCACAGCTGATGATTCCGACTCAATTGAATGGTGTTATTGCATGACCTAAGCACCGCATCAAGACCCAGCAACAGTTGCGCTTCCCATCTTCGTGCGGTGTTGGATGCAAGCACAGACATGCAACCAGACATGCAACCAGACATGGGCAACGAGTGAACAACGTGTAGTACACGAACTGGAGCTGTCATTTCGGCACAGCCGATGGTTCCGACTCATCAAGAGGTGTTATTGCATGACCTAAGCACCGCATCAAGAGCCAGCAACAGTTGCGCTTCCCATCTTCGTGCGGTGTTGGATGCAAGCACAGACATGCAACCAGACATGGGCAACGAGTGAACAACGTGTAGTACACGAACTGGAGCTGTCATTTCGGCACAGCTGATGATTCCGACTCAATTGAATGGTGTTATTGCATGACCTAAGCACCGCATCAAGACCCAGCAACAGTTGCGCTTCCCATCTTCGTGCGGTGTTGGATGCAAGCACAGACATGCAACCAGACATGCAACCAGACATGGGCAACGAGTGAACAACGTGCAATACACGAACTGGAGCTGTCATTTCGGCACAGCTGATGATTCCGACTCAATTGAATGGTGTTATTGCATGACCTAAGCACCGCATCAAGAGCCAGCAACAGTTGCGCTTCCCATCTTCGTGCGGTGTTGGATGCAAGCACAGACATGCAACCAGACATGCAACCAGACATGGGCAACGAGTGAACAACGTGTAGTACACGAACTGGAGCTGTCATTTCGGCACAGCTGATGATTCCGACTCAATTGAATGGTGTTATTGCATGACCTAAGCACCGCATCAAGACCCAGCAACAGTTGCGCTTCCCATCTTCGTGCGGTGTTGGATGCAAGCACAGACATGCAACCAGACATGCAACCAGACATGGGCAACGAGTGAACAACGTGTAGTACACGAACTGGAGCTGTCATTTCGGCACAGCCGATGGTTCCGACTCATCAAGAGGTGTTATTGCATGACCTAAGCACCGCATCAAGACCCAGCAACAGTTGCGCTTCCCATCTTCGTGCGGTGTTGGATGCAAGCACAGACATGCAACCAGACATGGGCAACGAGTGAACAACGTGTAGTACACGAACTGGAGCTGTCATTTCGGCACAGCTGATGATTCCGACTCAATTGAATGGTGTTATTGCATGACCTAAGCACCGCATCAAGACCCAGCAACAGTTGCGCTTCCCATCTTCGTGCGGTGTTGGATGCAAGCACAGACATGCAACCAGACATGCAACCAGACATGGGCAACGAGTGAACAACGTGCAGTACACGAACTGGAGCTGTCATTTCGGCACAGCTGATGATTCCGACTCATCAAGAGGTGTTATTGCATGACCTAAGCACCGCATCAAGACCCAGCAACAGTTGCGCTTCCCATCTTCGTGCGGTGTTGGATGCAAGCACAGACATGCAACCAGACATGCAACCAGACATGGGCAACGAGTGAACAACGTGTAGTACACGAACTGGAGCTGTCATTTCGGCACAGCTGATGATTCCGACTCAAATGAATGGTGTTATTGCATGACCTAAGCACCGCATCAAGAGCCAGCAACAGTTGCGCTTCCCATCTTCGTGCGGTGTTGGATGCAACCACAGACATGCAACCAGACATGCAACCAGACATGGGTAACGAGTGAACAACGTGCGGTACACGAACTGGAGCTGTCATTTCGGCACAGCTGATGATTCCGACTCAATTGAATGGTGTTATTGCATGACCTAAGCACCGCATCAAGACCCAGCAACAGTTGCGCTTCCCATCTTCGTGCGGTGTTGGATGCAAGCACAGACATGCAACCAGACATGCAACCAGACATGGGCAACGAGTGAACAACGTGCAGTACACGAACTGGAGCTGTCATTTCGGCACAGCCGATGGTTCCGACTCATCAAGAGGTGTTATTGCATGACCTAAGCACCGCATCAAGAGCCAGCAACAGTTGCGCTTCCCATCTTCGTGCGGTGTTGGATGCAAGCACAGACATGCAACCAGACATGCAACCAGACATGGGCAACGAGTGAACAACGTGTAGTACACGAACTGGAGCTGTCATTTCGGCACAGCTGATGATTCCGACTCAATTGAATGGTGTTATTGCATGACCTAAGCACCGCATCAAGAGCCAGCAACAGTTGCGCTTCCCATCTTCGTGCGGTGTTGGATGCAACCACAGACATGCAACCAGACATGCAACCAGACATGGGCAACGAGTGAACAACGTGCAGTACACGAACTGGAGCTGTCATTTCGGCACAGCCGATAATTCCGACTCAATTGAATGGTGTTATTGCGTGACCTAAGCACCGCATCAAGAGCCAGCAACAGTTGCGCTTCCCATCTTCGTGCGGTGTTGGATGCAAGCACAGACATGCAACCAGACATGCAACCAGACATGGGCAACGAGTGAACAACGTGTAGTACACGACTTGGAGCTGTCATTTCGGCACAGCCGATGGTTCCGACTCATCAAGAGGTGTTATTGCATGACCTAAGCACCGCATCAAGAGCCAGCAACAGTTGCGCTTCCCATCTTCGTGCGGTGTTGGATGCAACCACAGACATGCAACCAGACATGCAACCAGACATGGGCAACGAGTGAACAACGTGCGGTACACGAACTGGAGCTGTCATTTCGGCACAGCTGATGATTCCGACTCAATTGAATGGTGTTATTGCATGACCTAAGCACCGCATCAAGAGCCAGCAACAGTTGCGCTTCCCATCTTCGTGCGGTGTTGGATGCAACCACAGACATGCAACCAGACATGCAACCAGACATGGGCAACGAGTGAACAACGTGCGGTACACGAACTGGAGCTGTCATTTCGGCACAGCTGATGATTCCGACTCAATTGAATGGTGTTATTGCGTGACCTAAGCACCGCATCAAGAGCCAGCAACAGTTGCGCTTCCCATCTTCGTGCGGTGTTGGATGCAACCACAGACATGCAGCCAGACATGCAACCAGACATGGGCAACGAGTGAACAACGTGTAGTACACGACTTGGAGCTGTCATTTCGGCACAGCCGATGGTTCCGACTCATCAAGAGGTGTTATTGCGTGACCTAAGCACCGCATCAAGAGCCAGCAACAGTTGCGCTTCCCATCTTCGTGCGGTGTTGGATGCAAGCACAGACATGCAACCAGACATGCAACCAGACATGGGCAACGAGTGAACAACGTGTAGTACACGAACTGGAGCTGTCATTTCGGCACAGCTGATGATTCCGACTCAATTGAATGGTGTTATTGCATGACCTAAGCACCGCATCAAGAGCCAGCAACAGTTGCGCTTCCCATCTTCGTGCGGTGTTGGATGCAACCACAACACAACCAGACATGCAACCAGACATGGGCAACGAGTGAACAACGTGCAGTACACGAACTGGAGCTGTCATTTCGGCACAGCTGATGATTCCGACTCAATTGAATGGTGTTATTGCGTGACCTAAGCACCGCATCAAGAGCCAGCAACAGTTGCGCTTCCCATCTTCGTGCGGTGTTGGATGCAACCACAGACATGCAACCAGACATGCAACCAGACATGGGCAACGAGTGAACAACGTGTAGTACACGACTTGGAGCTGTCATTTCGGCACAGCCGATAATTCCGACTCATCAAGAGGTGTTATTGCGTGACCTAAGCACCGCATCAAGAGCCAGCAACAGTTGCGCTTCCCATCTTCGTGCGGTGTTGGATGCAACCACAGACATGCAACCAGACATGCAACCAGACATGGGCAACGAGTGAACAACGTGCAATACACGAACTGGAGCTGTCATTTCGGCACAGCTGATGATTCCGACTCAATTGAATGGTGTTATTGCATGACCTAAGCACCGCATCAAGAGCCAGCAACAGTTGCGCTTCCCATCTTCGTGCGGTGTTGGATGCAAGCACAGACATGCAACCAGACATGCAACCAGACATGGGCAACGAGTGAACAACGTGCGGTACACGAACTGGAGCTGTCATTTCGGCACAGCTGATGATTCCGACTCAATTGAATGGTGTTATTGCATGACCTAAGCACCGCATCAAGAGCCAGCAACAGTTGCGCTTCCCATCTTCGTGCGGTGTTGGATGCAAGCACAGACATGCAACCAGACATGCAACCAGACATGGGCAACGAGTGAACAACGTGCAGTACACGAACTGGAGCTGTCATTTCGGCACAGCCGATGGTTCCGACTCATCAAGAGGTGTTATTGCGTGACCTAAGCACCGCATCAAGAGCCAGCAACAGTTGCGCTTCCCATCTTCGTGCGGTGTTGGATGCAAGCACAGACATGCAACCAGACATGCAACCAGACATGGGCAACGAGTGAACAACGTGCAATACACGAACTGGAGCTGTCATTTCGGCACAGCTGATGATTCCGACTCAATTGAATGGTGTTATTGCATGACCTAAGCACCGCATCAAGACCCAGCAACAGTTGCGCTTCCCATCTTCGTGCGGTGTTGGATGCAACCACAGACATGCAACCAGACATGCAACCAGACATGGGCAACGAGTGAACAACGTGCAGTACACGAACTGGAGCTGTCATTTCGGCACAGCCGATGGTTCCGACTCATCAAGAGGTGTTATTGCGTGACCTAAGCACCGCATCAAGAGCCAGCAACAGTTGCGCTTCCCATCTTCGTGCGGTGTTGGATGCAAGCACAGACATGCAACCAGACATGCAACCAGACATGGGCAACGAGTGAACAACGTGTAGTACACGAACTGGAGCTGTCATTTCGGCACAGCTGATGATTCCGACTCAATTGAATGGTGTTATTGCATGACCTAAGCACCGCATCAAGACCCAGCAACAGTTGCGCTTCCCATCTTCGTGCGGTGTTGGATGCAAGCACAGACATGCAACCAGACATGCAACCAGACATGGGCAACGAGTGAACAACGTGCAGTACACGAACTGGAGCTGTCATTTCGGCACAGCTGATGATTCCGACTCAATTGAAGTGGTGTTATTGCATGACCTAAGCACCGCATCAAGAGCCAGCAACAGTTGCGCTTCCCATCTTCGTGCGGTGTTGGATGCAAGCACAGACATGCAACCAGACATGCAACCAGACATGGGCAACGAGTGAACAACGTGTAGTACACGAACTGGAGCTGTCATTTCGGCACAGCTGATGATTCCGACTCAATTGAATGGTGTTATTGCATGACCTAAGCACCGCATCAAGAGCCAGCAACAGTTGCGCTTCCCATCTTCGTGCGGTGTTGGATGCAACCACAGACATGCAACCAGACATGCAACCAGACATGGGCAACGAGTGAACAACGTGCAGTACACGAACTGGAGCTGTCATTTCGGCACAGCCGATGGTTCCGACTCATCAAGAGGTGTTATTGCGTGACCTAAGCACCGCATCAAGAGCCAGCAACAGTTGCGCTTCCCATCTTCGTGCGGTGTTGGATGCAAGCACAGACATGCAACCAGACATGCAACCAGACATGGGCAACGAGTGAACAACGTGTAGTACACGAACTGGAGCTGTCATTTCGGCACAGCTGATGATTCCGACTCAATTGAATGGTGTTATTGCATGACCTAAGCACCGCATCAAGAGCCAGCAACAGTTGCGCTTCCCATCTTCGTGCGGTGTTGGATGCAACCACAGACATGCAACCAGACATGCAACCAGACATGGGCAACGAGTGAACAACGTGTAGTACACGAACTGGAGCTGTCATTTCGGCACAGCTGATGATTCCGACTCAATTGAAGTGGTGTTATTGCATGACCTAAGCACCGCATCAAGAGCCAGCAACAGTTGCGCTTCCCATCTTCGTGCGGTGTTGGATGCAACCACAGACATGCAACCAGACATGCAACCAGACATGGGCAACGAGTGAACAACGTGCGGTACACGAACTGGAGCTGTCATTTCGGCACAGCTGATGATTCCGACTCAATTGAATGGTGTTATTGCATGACCTAAGCACCGCATCAAGACCCAGCAACAGTTGCGCTTCCCATCTTCGTGCGGTGTTGGATGCAAGCACAGACATGCAACCAGACATGAGCAACGAGTGAACAACGTGTAGTACACGACTTGGAGCTGTCATTTCGGCACAGCTGATGATTCCGACTCAATTGAATGGTGTTATTGCATGACCTAAGCACCGCATCAAGAGCCAGCAACAGTTGCGCTTCCCATCTTCGTGCGGTGTTGGATGCAAGCACAGACATGCAACCAGACATGCAACCAGACATGGGCAACGAGTGAACAACGTGCAGTACACGAACTGGAGCTGTCATTTCGGCACAGCTGATGATTCCGACTCAATTGAATGGTGTTATTGCATGACCTAAGCACCGCATCAAGAGCCAGCAACAGTTGCGCTTCCCATCTTCGTGCGGTGTTGGATGCAACCACAGACATGCAACCAGACATGCAACCAGACATGGGCAACGAGTGAACAACGTGTAGTACACGAACTGGAGCTGTCATTTCGGCACAGCTGATGATTCCGACTCAATTGAATGGTGTTATTGCGTGACCTAAGCACCGCATCAAGACCCAGCAACAGTTGCGCTTCCCATCTTCGTGCGGTGTTGGATGCAAGCACAGACATGCAACCAGACATGCAACCAGACATGGGCAACGAGTGAACAACGTGTAGTACACGACTTGGAGCTGTCATTTCGGCACAGCCGATGGTTCCGACTCATCAAGAGGTGTTATTGCGTGACCTAAGCACCGCATCAAGAGCCAGCAACAGTTGCGCATCCCATCTTCGTGCGGTGTTGGATGCAAGCACAGACATGCAACCAGACATGCAACCAGACATGGGCAACGAGTGAACAACGTGTAGTACACGAACTGGAGCTGTCATTTCGGCACAGCTGATGATTCCGACTCAATTGAATGGTGTTATTGCATGACCTAAGCACCGCATCAAGAGCCAGCAACAGTTGCGCTTCCCATCTTCGTGCGGTGTTGGATGCAACCACAGACATGCAGCCAGACATGCAACCAGACATGGGCAACGAGTGAACAACGTGTAGTACACGACTTGGAGCTGTCATTTCGGCACAGCTGATGATTCCGACTCAATTGAATGGTGTTATTGCATGACCTAAGCACCGCATCAAGAGCCAGCAACAGTTGCGCTTCCCATCTTCGTGCGGTGTTGGATGCAAGCACAGACATGCAACCAGACATGCAACCAGACATGGGCAACGAGTGAACAACGTGTAATACACGAACTGGAGCTGTCATTTCGGCACAGCTGATACTTCCGACTCAATCGAATGGTGTTATCGAATGATCTAAGCACCGCATCAAGAGCCAGCAACAGTTGCGCATCCCATCTTCGTGCGGTGTTGGATGCAAGCACAGACATGCAACCAGACATGCAACCAGACATGGGCAACGAGTGAACAACGTGCAATACACGAACTGGAGCTGTCATTTCGGCACAGCTGATGATTCCGACTCAATTGAATGGTGTTATTGCATGACCTAAGCACCGCATCAAGAGCCAGCAACAGTTGCGCTTCCCATCTTCGTGCGGTGTTGGATGCAAGCACAGACATGCAGCCAGACATGCAACCAGACATGGGCAACGAGTGAACAACGTGTAGTACACGAACTGGAGCTGTCATTTCGGCACAGCCGATGGTTCCGACTCATCAAGAGGTGTTATTGCGTGACCTAAGCACCGCATCAAGAGCCAGCAACAGTTGCGCTTCCCATCTTCGTGCGGTGTTGGATGCAAGCACAGACATGCAACCAGACATGCAACCAGACATGGGCAACGAGTGAACAACGTGCAATACACGAACTGGAGCTGTCATTTCGGCACAGCTGATGATTCCGACTCAATTGAATGGTGTTATTGCATGACCTAAGCACCGCATCAAGACCCAGCAACAGTTGCGCTTCCCATCTTCGTGCGGTGTTGGATGCAAGCACAGACATGCAACCAGACATGCAACCAGACATGGGCAACGAGTGAACAACGTGCAGTACACGAACTGGAGCTGTCATTTCGGCACAGCTGATGATTCCGACTCAATTGAATGGTGTTATTGCATGACCTAAGCACCGCATCAAGAGCCAGCAACAGTTGCGCTTCCCATCTTCGTGCGGTGTTGGATGCAACCACAGACATGCAACCAGACATGCAACCAGACATGGGCAACGAGTGAACAACGTGCGGTACACGAACTGGAGCTGTCATTTCGGCACAGCTGATGATTCCGACTCAATTGAATGGTGTTATCGAATGATCTAAGCACCGCATCAAGAGCCAGCAACAGTTGCGCTTCCCATCTTCGTGCGGTGTTGGATGCAAGCACATACATGCAACCAGATATGCAACCAGACATGGGCAACGAGTAAACAACGTGCGGTACACGAACTGGAGCTGTCATTTCGGCACAGCTGATGATTCCGACTCAATTGAATGGTGTTATTGCGTGACCTAAGCACCGCATCAAGAGCCAGCAACAGTTGCGCTTCCCATCTTCGTGCGGTGTTGGATGCAAGCACATACATGCAACCAGATATGCAACCAGACATGGGCAACGAGTGAACAACGTGCAATACACGAACTGGAGCTGTCATTTCGGCACAGCTGATGATTCCGACTCAATTGAATGGTGTTATTGCGTGACCTAAGCACCGCATCAAGAGCCAGCAACAGTTGCGCTTCCCATCTTCGTGCGGTGTTGGATGCAAGCACATACATGCAACCAGATATGCAACCAGACATGGGCAACGAGTAAACAACGTGCGGGACACGAACTGGAGCTGTCATTTCGGCACAGCTGATGACTCAATTGAATACTGTTATTGCATGACCTAAGTGTTGAAAAGACAGCGGCTGTGAAGAAGACACCTCGTCAAGCTGCGTCAAGTGTTGAAGCAAGTGGAAGACCAAGCTTCGCTATACCGGTGGGTACCGGTATGTACCAGTAAGGGCGAAGTCAGGAAATGACGTCACTGGATGACGTCACTGCGAATAATAGGCTTAGAGGTAGTATTCAAAGTTGCGAACTAAGTACCTATTATAAATATATATTCACTTTGCGTTTTGCACTCGGACCAAGAAGTCTAAAGTTCATCAGGTTATGAGCCCAAGTTCGTCAGACTCTGAAACCGCCAACAATTCAAGCTTAGCTGCCATGGACGCCTCCTCCCTCCGCATCTCCAAGTTCGATGGAACTAACTTCCACGCCTGGAAGTTCAAGATGCAGATGGTGCTGGAGGAACGGGACCTATGGGAGGTCGTCAGCGGTGAGATCAAGGCGGAACAGTGCGAGACTCAGTTGGACCAAGCGACGTACAAGAGGAAGTCAAGAAAGGCGATGGCAGTGATCTGTCTAGCCATGGAAGATTCCCAGCTACCGTTGGTCCGGTCGGCAAGTGGTGCATGCGACGCATGGTCAAGGTTGGAAGACCACTTCGAGAAGAAGAGTCTTGCCAACAAGCTGTTCTTGCGCCGTCGCTTCTTCACGACAATGATGGAAGAAGGCGACGATGTGCTCGAACACATCAACAAGCTCAAGACGCTGGCGGAACAGCTAGAAGCGGTGGGGGCTCCAGTCTGCGAGGACGATCTGGTGATCACACTCCTCGGCAGCCTGAGTGACTCGTATAAATTCTTGATCACAGCTTTGGAGTCGCGCTCAGACACTCTTAGCTGGGAGCTCGTGACGTCTCGACTGCTTCATGAAGAAATGAAGCGGAAGGAGCAAGGAAGTAAAGGTGATGAAGCTTCGCAAGGTCAAGCGTTCATCACAAGGGACAATCAGCGCAAAGGGCGACCAGTGAAGAAGTCCTGGCCGTGCCACAATTGCGGAAAGATTGGTCACTGGATGGCGGAGTGCCCCTCGCGCATCCAAGAAAACACGGAGAGACACCGGCCACAGCGTGCTCAAGACAGCGGCGACCGCTATCGATCACAACGTGCAAACGTCGCTCAAGAAGAAGACTCGGGCGACTACCTCTTTTCGATCGGTGAAACGACATCTGCGAAATCGAGCGACATCTGGCTGGTCGACTCCGGGGCGACGCAGCACATGACGTGCTCCAAGAAGTTCATGCGGAACTACAAGGGGTTTGACGCTGTGGATGTCCATCTCGCGGATGATGGAATCGTCCAAGCAATCGGCAGTTGGGGACATTGTCATGTCAATGAAGACACCCCAAGGGATGAAGAAAGGTGTGCTCACAAACGTGTGGCACATCCCAAAGTTATCCAGAAACCTGTTCTCGGTCGGCCGCTTCATCAAGGATGTCGGCCCAGTGACGTTCACAGGATGAAGGATGGTGTGCTATGGAGAAGCGAAAGGGACCAAGTGGAAAATTGGTGCCCGTGAAGGTAAAGGACTGTTCAAGCTGCAAATGACTCCAGTGGCGCCGGAACAAGCAAATGCAGCCAAGTCGTCGGGATGTCAAGGGGGCACCAAGTCGTACCTCTGGCACCTTCGGCTTGGCCACATAGGTCACGATGGACTCAATTGCATCGTGACGAAGAACATTGGAATTGGCATCGACATATCTTCGGTGAAGAAGTGGGACGTGTGTGAAGGTTGTGCTCTGGGAAAACAGACTCGAGTGCGCTTCCAATCAAACACTACAGCTCGCACCTCCAAACTCCTCGAAGTGATTCACAGCGACGTATGCGGACCGATGTCGATGGCAACTTTCAGTGGAAAACGGTACTTCGTGACATTCATTGATGACAAGTCAAGATACTGTGTCGTCTATCTGCTCAAGAGCAAATCTGAAGTTGCGGCGAAGTTCATGGAATACGCTGCGATGGCCGAAACGCAAACCGGAAAGCGCGTGAAGTACCTTCAAAGCGACAATGGGGGTGAATACAAGTCCGACAAGCTGGCACGATTCTGCGCGGAACGGGGAATACAACAAAGGTTCACACCCCCATATACTCCTCAGCTAAACGGAGTAGCTGAGAGAATGAATCGCACGCTGGTCGAGTGTGCGCGTTGCATGATGGAACACGCTGGACTGGGAAAGAGCTACTGGGGTGAAGCAGTGATGACGGCGATGTTTCTTCGAAACCGCTGTCCAACACGTGCCAGTCACCAAGACAAGTCTCCATATCAAGTGTGGACGATGAAGAAACCGATTCTGGCCAACCTTAAAGTGTTTGGATGCCACGCGTATGTTCAAGTGCCTCAAGACAAACGCGCGAAGTTCGACTCCAAGTCATCACTCTGTCGTTTCCTGGGATACGCCGAACACCAGAAGTCATATCGATTTGAGGAAGTGTCAACAGGAGCGATCAAGATCAGTCGCGATGCCACATTCATGGAAGACAAGTTTGATGAAGGTCCGCGCAACTACAACGATGAGTCAAGTGTCGTTGAGTTTGATGATCATGATGAGGACGAAGAAAAAGAAGAAGGTAAAACTGACGACGACATGGACTCGAGCGACGATGACAACGAAGACACCAGGTCTTCGAAGAGCAACATCAAGAGACACACGCGCACTCAATCACTTGAGAAAGCTACCGTCATTCCAAGTCCCAAGCGAAGAACATACAGAGGTCCGTCGCTTGAGCATGTGTCAGCGGCTGCAATGGATTTTGAAGCAGCCTACATCGTTGATTCAGTGGGGGAAACGCCGACTACATTCAAGTCGGCGATGGAATCAAGCGACTCCGGCAAGTGGAAAGAAGCGTGTGACTCGGAGTTCGATTCGCTTCAGAGAAACGACACGTGGGAAATCGTGCCTCTTCCGAAAGGTCGCAAGGCCATCGGGTGCCGATGGGTTTTTCGTGTAAAGGAGAATCAAGATGGCGAAGTTGAACGTTTCAAGGCAAGACTTGTGGCCAAAGGATTCTCACAGGAATTCGGAGTTGACTATGAAGAAACTTTTCGCACCGGTGGCCAAGTTCACATCGATTCGTGTGGTGCTCAGTATGGCGGCTAAGTACGGCCTAATGCTACATCAGATGGACGTCAAGACAGCGTTTCTTAACGGCTCCCTCAACGAAGACATCTACATGGACCAGCCGGACGGATACCTGGATGCAACACAGCCGGACTATGTGTGCAAGCTAAAGAGATCACTCTACGGCTTGAAGCAATCGCCTCGCATGTGGAACCAAACAATCGATGGGTTCATGATCAAGATGGGATTCAAGAAGTGCGAATCGGACCACTGCATCTACATCAAGCGAGACGACCAAGACATGATTCTCGTGGTGCTCTACGTCGATGATCTCATCCTGGCCAGCAGCAACAACGAACTCCTCAAGTCGACCAAGATGGCGCTGAGCAAACGCTTCGAAATGACGGATCTCGGTGAGCTCGATTACTTTCTCGGCATGGAGATCAAGAACGACCGTAAGACGGGAATGGTGACTGTACAACAAACCAAGTTTCTCAAGTCCGTGTTAACCAAGTTCGGAATGGATAACAGCAAGCCAGTGAAGACGCCTCAAGATCCCGGCCTGAAGCTAACCAAGAACATGTGTGAACAAGAATGCAAGCACGAAGACACCATGTGCAACGTGCCATATCGAAGTGCTGTCGGAGGCATCATGTATCTCATGGTCGCCACACGTCCGGATCTAGCTGCTGCAGTGGGATCATTATCCCAGTTCTCGTCCGACCCATGCCCGACTCACTGGCAAGCTTTGAAGCGTGTGCTGAGATACCTGCAAGCAACGCCCAATCATGGTCTTGAGTTTACACGTGAAGAAGGAAGCCGTATCTGCGGGTACACCGACGCAGACTGGGCCGGCGACATTGAGTCAAGACGAAGTACAAGCGGCTATGTGTTCATGATGAGCGGAGGATGCATCAGCTGGAAAAGCCAGAAACAACGGACAATCGCGCTATCTTCAACAGAAGCAGAATACATGGCGCTTTCCGAAGCAACCAAAGAAGCAGTATGGCTCAAGGTGCTTTTGGGGGAACTTGGTGAGATGACAAGCGACGAAGCGATCAAGATGTATGAAGACAACCAATGATCAATCGCTCTCGCCAAGAACCCGGAGTTCCATAAGAGAACAAAACACATCGACATACGCTACCATTTTGTGCGTGAGAAGGTGGAATCAGGTGAAGTCGTTTTGGAGTATTGCCCGACTCAAGATATGCTGGCAGACATGATGACCAAGCCGATCGCCGCTGTACAATTTGAAAACATTCGCGATCGACTTGGGATCCAAGGTGCCGCAGCTAACGAGTCGAGAGGGAGTGTTGAAAAGACAGCGGCTGTGAAGAAGACACCTCGTCAAGCTGCGTCAAGTGTTGAAGCAAGTGGAAGACCAAGCTTCGCTATACCGGTGGGTACCGGTATGTACCAGTAAGGGCGAAGTCAGGAAATGACGTCACTGGATGACGTCACTGCGAATAATAGGCTTAGAGGTAGTATTCAAAGTTGCGAACTAAGTACCTATTATAAATATATATTCACTTTGCGTTTTGCACTCGGACCAAGAAGTCTAAAGTTCATCACTAAGCACCGCATCAATAGCCAGCAGCAGTTGCGCTTCCCACCCTTTTGGAGTGTTAAATATAAGTTGATGCACAACTATAGAATTCATATGGCAGTTGTGATGGTAGGCCTATCATTTGTTTTCATAGCACATTAGGTAACACGATAGAAAAGAAGAAATTAGAAGGCAAGGATTTGCATTTTTATTAGAAAATGCAGTCATGTGAATTGATAGTGTAGACGGACAGATTGCAATATTTGTCTTAATATTACGAATTGGATGGTGCTCTCGAAAGCATATACGGGACTTGCCAGATCATTACGATTGATAAAATGGTTGTAGGCTTTTGAAAGGTGTGAAGCTTGACGACCGAAACCGGGAGGGATGCTGGGAGTCCACTCGAAAGACCGGAGAAGACACTTGGGGCTAGGTGGAAGATTGGAAAGTGATTGATTCATAGGTCTTGACTTTGTTACCCTAGACTGCATCCAATCACATGGTGCATTTAATCAACCTGATTTACACACGTCCATCATTCTACGCATCCAATCATCTCTGAGGTAATTACCGACGTAAAAACTATCCCGTAAAAATTAGCAAAAGTTCGGATGGTGTTGCATTGTAGATCGGAGCGAGGAAAGCGGAGCAAACGGAGCGGAGAGACCGAAGAGAGTAGAGCAGAAAACACTTGCCCAATAGTTGGAAGATTCGAAAGTGATTGATTATCGGGGCTTACTACTTACTACATGATTTATATGTGGTGTACATATAAATCATGTGAAGCGTCTCATCATCCTACGCGTCTAATCAACTATGGTAATTACCGTAAGAACTACGTCGTAAATACTAAGCTGAACAGGCGGTTCGGATTGGATCGGTCACGGTTACCAATACTGGTAGAAAACCGATGACCGTCAACACGCCCCCTCAATCCGAATGCTCACGAATCCCGAGAGTCGCCGTCATCTCCTTGTGGCGTGGCCCGTGAAGTCCCTTCGTCATGATGTCCGCTAACATCACCGCAGTTTCACAGTACTTGAGCTTCACTTCACCGCGCTTGACCTCATCACGGATGTGATGGTACTTGATATCAATGTGCTTGGCACGGCCGTGGTTGACTGGGTTCTTCGTCATCTTGATACACGACTGATTGTCTTCATGGATCATGAGTTCCGGTCCTTCTTCATTGGCAGCCATCACGATCTCACAAAGCAGACGATGAATCCACTTGCCCTCTTGAATCGCCAAGCTGAGTGCGATGTATTCGGCTTCACTCGTGGACAACGAAACACTTGGCTGCTTCTTGCTGCCCCAACTGACTGGCGCACCGAGTAGCATGAACGTGTACCCCGATGTTGACTTGCGGTCGGTAAGATCACCAGCCCAATCCGCATCCGAATATCCACGGAAGTCGATCCTTGCACTTGGCTTGTAGCAAATTCCATGCGTCTTGGTGCCTTGTAGGTAGCGAAAGATACGCTTAACTGCAACCCAGTGTTCTTCTTGGGGATTTTCCATGAACCGCGACACATAGCCCACAGCAAACGCAATGTCCGGACGCGTTGCAGTGGTCAGGTGCATCAACGCACCAACAGCTTCGCGAAAAGGAGCGTCGACCTTGGTAGTTGCATCACTTGAAACAAGTCGAGAGCTCATGTCGACTGGACTTGCGACTGCCTTGCAATCATCCATGCCAAAGCGCTTGAGGATATCATCGACATACCGACGCTGGCACAGTGTCACACTTCCATCTGCGCCGTCCAAAAGCTCGACTCTAAGCACAAATGCACACTTGCCGCTGTCAGTCATCTCGAAGCGTGTCTTCAGGTCTTCCTTGGTGTGTGCAATCAACTTGGGTGAGCTTCCTGTCACCAACACGTCATCCACATAGACCAGTATAAACACGCAATGGCCGTCCGAAGTCTTGATGTAGAGACATGGGTCGAAGTCTGACACTTGAAATCCAATGGAACACACAAACTCGTCAGAAGTCTCGTTCCATACTCGCAAAGCTTGCTTCAGGCCGTAAATTGCCTTCACCAATTCCAGGCAGTCGAACGTACTGTCAAGTTCGACGCCTTCAGGAATCACGCAGAACACTTTTTCCTTCATGACGCCATACAGGAAAGCTGTCACCACATCAAGCTGGTCGATGGGCCATCCAAAATGCTTGGAAATTGCGATCACCATTCGCAGCGTCACATACTTGACCACAGGCGAAAACGTCTCCGTGTAGTCGATGCCATACTTTTGGCGGAAACCCTTGGCCACAAGTCGTGCCTTGTACTTCTCGATTGACCCATCCGCCTTGCGCTTGATCTTGAACACCCATTTTGTGCCAATGGCGCGTTGTCCGTTGGGCAGCTTGGCTGCACGAAACACACCGCGAAGTCGCATTGACTCGAGCTCTGCATGAATTGCTTTTCTCCAGTGCACTTGGTCAGGGCCGCTTACTGCTGCTTCAAATGTTGAGGGCTCTGATAAGTCCACTGCTGCTTCAACGGCATTTGCACTCGCACGCCAAAACACAGGCGGTGTTGAATCACCAGAATCCTTCGTTTCTTCGTCTTCTTCTTGTCGTGACGAGTTGTTTTCCGGCGCGCTTGACTCTTCTAGTCCTGGTCGTTGACGCACTGCACGCGGTCGTGGAGCTGCTGTATCTTCATCATTGAGTCGGTTCTTGCGCTTGCCTGTTTGCTTGTACTCCATTTGACGCAGCTCTTCGTCATCAAGATCCAGCAATTCGAAGTCCAGGTCATCGACATCTTCATCAGTGATCGGCAGTTGAAGTCCAAAGGTGGACTCGTCGAAGTTGACATCGCGGCTGATAACCACCTGCCCCGCCTCGATGTCATAAACACGATATGCCTTCGAAACTTCTTCGTAGCCCACGAATATGCCAGCGCGAGCCTTTGGATCCCACTTGAGTCGATTCTCTTTAGGCGTCAGTATGTATGTCTGACACCCGAATGTTCGCATGTGCTTGACGCTTGGTTTCAAGTTGTAGACGATCTCAAACGAGGTCTTGTGCACGACTTTAGGTGACGGCAGTCGATTCTTGACGTAGATGGCCGTCATCGCTGCTTCGGCCCAGAAACACTTGTCTAGTTTGGCATGATGAAGCATGCTGCGGCCGATCGTGACAATAGTCCTAATGGCACGCTCTGCTGTTCCGTTTGTTTGATGTGCATACGGCACCGTTGTCTGCTGTTCAATGCCTTCGTCTTCGTAGAACAGTTGAAGCGAGTTGGTTGCAAACTCGCGAGCTCCGTCGTGTCGCACGAACTTGACCTTCTTACAGAATTGCGTCTGTACCATGGTGATATATTTCCGGATGTAGTCTTCACTCTCGGACTTCACTCGTAGACAAAAGCCCTTCATGCATCCACTGGCTTCGTCGATGATCAGCAGCAAATATTTGCTGCCACCGAGCGAATCCTTTTCCATGGGCCCGCAGATGTCCAGATGAAGTAGCTCAAACGTGTCGTAGCTACGCTTGTCACGATTGCTTGGGAATGGTTTTGGACCATTTTCCCTTGTTGACATCCTCGACATGTAGTTGCTCCACCCGACTTGAGAGGCACTCCCACATCTTTGATCATGTTGTTCGAGATCATCTTGCGAAGCACATCGACTGTAGCATGACCCATTCTCGCATGTAGATCGGCACAACTGGTTCCACTTGTTGTCACATTCGCTGATCGTTGAGTCGTCCGAAGCCAGTAGAGTCCATCCACAAGATCTGCTGTCGCCACCACTTGCTGTGAGTTCTTGAGAGTCACATACATCTTGGACCCGTCAAACACGACTTGAAACTTGCCATGGCTGTTAATCTGTGGCACCGAGAGCAGGTTCTTGCTCATACTTGGAACATATAGCGCGTTCTTGATTTCGATCTCACGCTCTTCACCGTTGGGCAGAACCACCTTTTCCATGATGGTTCCACACCCTTGATGGCCACCTTGTTGCCATCAGCCACCAAGAGTTCGCCCTCATTGCGCTCTGCCAAACTTGCGAACTTGGTCTTGTCGTGGCAAATGTGGTGCGTTGCACCACTGTCGACGGCCCACATTCCAGACACGTCCTTGCTCGTCGAAACTCCACATTCGAACGAGACTGCAAACGCCACTCGATCGTAGCCATTGCCTTCATCATGATGTCCCCACTGGACATTGTTAGCCCCGCGTCCACGACCATTGCCGCCGCGTCGGGCTCCCCGACCTTCGTTCTTCTGCTTTGTCCAGCAACGATCCACCGTGTGTCCCACCTTGCCACAATACGTGCATTGGTAGGGCTCACGCTCGGCGCTGAATGCCTTGCTTGCATCTTCAGCCTTCACCGTAGTCGCTGTCGTTGTCCCTTTTTCTCCTTGACGCTTGGCATGCTCATTCGTCAGGACTCTCACCACATCTTGAGTGCGAAGCTCGGTGCTGCTCATTTCCATGTTGAGCACCACATTTTCGTAGCTCTTCGGAAGACTGAGTAGCAGACAAATTGCAACGTCTTCGTCTTCCATCTTCGCACCGATGCCGCTAAGCTTGGCGGAGATGTTGAGGACCTCGTTGCAGTGATGCATGACGTTCGCGCCTTCAGCCATCTTGATACTGAAAAGTTGTCGCTTGAGGTAGATGCGTCCTGCCTTCTGCGACCCACCGTACAGCGTCTTCAGACTTGTCCACGCAACCCAGGCTTCCTCGCAGTTGTCCAGCACATGATGGTAGTCCGCGTTCATGTGCAGCAGCATCATACCAAACGCGACGTTGCTTGCCTTGACGTAGTCATCGGACGCTCGCGGGTCGGTGAAAGTCGGAGTCACTTCACGGTTGACGACGTGCCAGACGGACTTCGTCAAAAACACACCGCGCATGTACCGGCTCCACGTTGCGTAATTGTCTCCGTTGAACTTGTCAATGGAGGCGTTGCTGGTGGACGACATGGCGCTTGGGCTCATAACCTGTTGCATTGTAGATCGGAGCGAGGAAAGCGGAGCAAACGGAGCGGAGAGACCGAAGAGAGTAGAGCAGAAAACACTTGCCCAATAGTTGGAAGATTCGAAAGTGATTGATTATCGGGGCTTACTACTTACTACATGATTTATATGTGGTGTACATATAAATCATGTGAAGCGTCTCATCATCCTACGCGTCTAATCAACTATGGTAATTACCGTAAGAACTACGTCGTAAATACTAAGCTGAACAGGCGGTTCGGATTGGATCGGTCACGGTTACCAATACTGGTAGAAAACCGATGACCGTCAACAGATGGTATAGGTAACCCTCAATACGCCCCCTCAATCCGAACTCACACAAATGTCGAGAGCCGTCGTCAAGTCCTTGTGACGCGGTCCTGGCAGTCCCTTCGTCATGATGTCCGCCAACTTAATCGTAGTCTCACAGTACTCCAACATGACATCACCTCGCTTGACCTCATCACGGATGTGATGGTACTTGATGCCGATGTGCTTGGCGCGGCCATGATTCACTGGATTCTTCGTCATCTCGATGCACGACTGGTTGTCTTCACGGATGACGAGGTCCGGTCCTGGTTCGTTTGCGGCCGCTAAAATCTCGCATAGCAGGCGATGCACCCACTTGCCTTCCTGGATGGCCAGACTCAGTGCGATGTATTCCGCTTCACTCGTCGACAGCGACACACTTGACTGCTTCTTGCTTCCCCAACTCACAGGAGCACCCATCAGCATGAAAGTGTAACCCGAAGTCGACTTGCGATCAGCGTGGTCGCCGGCCCAGTCCGCGTCCGAGTAGCCACGAAAGTCGATCTTGTCGCTTGGCTGGAAGCGGAGTCCGTGCGACTTGGTCCCTTGCAAGTAACGAAAGATGCGCTTCACCGCCGTCCAATGTTCTTGCTGCGGATTCTCCATGAAGCGCGAGACGTACCCCACAGCATACGCAATGTCCGGGCGCGTCGCAGTCGTCAAGTGCATCAAAGCTCCCACAGCTTCACGAAACGGAACGTCGATCTTGGTCGCTTCGCTGCTTGCGACAAGCCGAGTGCTCAAATTGACCGGACTTGCTGTGGCCTTGCACTCATCCATGCCGAAGCACTTGAGGATGTCGTTGACATACCGTCGCTGGCACATCGTCACGCTGCCATTCGATTCGTCCACCAGTTCGATGCCCAGTACAAAAGTACACTTGCCACTGTCGGTCATCTCGAAACGCGTCTTGAGGTCGGCCTTCGTCTGCGCAATCAACTCGAGCGAGCTGCCGGTGATCAACACGTCATCCACGTAGACCAGCACTAGCACACAGTGACCGTCGACAACCTTGATGTAGAGACATGGGTCGAACGCCGACACTTCGAAACCGATAAAGCATACGAGCTCGTCGAAAGTCTCGTTCCACACACGTGAAGCTTGCTTGAGACCGTAGATCGCCTTCACCAACTCGAGACAATCGAAGTCGCCATCCATCTCCACGCCTTCTGGTATCACGCAGTACACCTTCTCCTTCATCACTCCGTAGAGAAAGGCTGTCACCACATCGAGTTGGTCCAGTGGTCAGTCGAAATACTTGGTGATTGCGATCACCATACGCATTGTCACGTACTTGACCACGGGCGAGAACGTCTCAACGTCTCTGTGTAGTCGATGCCGTACTTCTGCTTGAAGCCCTTGGCAACGAGACGCGCCTTGTATTTCTCGACAGATCCATCCTCGCTGAAAATAAAAAGCAAATTTAAACAAGGCTCCAAGGATGATACTGATAATTTGACAGCTCGAGTTTGTGTACTACACGTTGTTCACTCGTTGCCCATGTCTGGTTGCATGTCTGGTTGCATGTCTGTGCTTGCATCCGACACCGCACGAAGATGGGAAGCGCAACTGTTGCTGGCTCTTGATGCGGTGCTTAGGTCATGCAATAACACCATTCAATTGAGTCGGACATCATCAGCCTGTGCCGAAATGACAGCTCCAGTTCGTGTACCGCACGTTGTTCACTCGTTGCCCATGTCTGGTTGCATGTCTGGTTGCATGTCTGTGCTTGCATCCAACACCGCACGAAGATGGGAAGCGCAACTGTTGCTGGCTCTTGATGCGGTGCTTAGGTCATGCAATAACACCTATTCAATTGAGTCGGAATCATCAGCTGTGCCGAAATGACAGCTCCAGTTCGTGTACTACACGTTGTTCACTCGTTGCCCATGTCTGGTTGCATGTCTGGTTGCATGTCTGTGCTTGCATCCAACACCGCACGAAGATGGGAAGCGCAACTGCTGCTGGGTCTTGATGCGGTGCTTAGGTCATGCAATAACACCATTCAATTGAGTCGGTCATCATCAGCCTGTGCCGAAATGACAGCTCCAGTTCGTGTACCCACACGTTGTTCACTCGTTGCCCATGTCTGGTTGCATGTCTGGTTGCATGTCTGTGCTTGCATCCAACACCGCACGAAGATGGGAAGCGCAACTGCTGCTGGGTCTTGATGCGGTGCTTAGGTCATGCAATAACACCATTATTCAATTGAGTCGGAATCATCAGCTGTGCCGAAATGACAGCTCCAGTTCGTGTCCTACACGTTGTTCACTCGTTGCCCATGTCTGGTTGCATGTCTGGTTGCATGTCTGTGCTTGCATCCAACACCGCACGAAGATGGGAAGCGCAACTGCTGCTGGGTCTTGATGCGGTGCTTAGGTCATGCAATAACACCATTCAATTGAGTCGGAATCATCAGCTGTGCCGAAATGACAGCTCCAGTTCGTGTACTTCCACGTTGTTCACTCGTTGCCCATGTCTGGGGGTTGCATGTCTGTGCTTGCATCCAACACCGCACGAAGATGGGAAGCGCAACTGCTGCTGGGTCTTGATGCGGTGCTTAGGTCATGCAATAACACCATTCAATTGAGTCGGAATCATCAGCTGTGCCGAAATGACAGCTCCAGTTCGTGTACTACACGTTGTTCACTCGTTGCCCATGTCTGGTTGCATGTCTGGTTGCATGTCTGTGCTTGCATCCAACACCGCACGAAGATGGGAAGCGCAACTGCTGCTGGCTCTTGATGCGGTGCTTAGGTCATGCAATAACACCATTCAATTGAGTCGGACATCATCGGCCTGTGCCGAAATGACAGCTCCAGTTCGTGTACCCACACGTTGTTCACTCGTTGCCCATGTCTGGTTGCATGTCTGGTTGCATGTCTGTGCTTGCATCCAACACCGCACGAAGATGGGAAGCGCAACTGCTGCTGGCTCTTGATGCGGTGCTTAGGTCATGCAATAACACCTATTCAATTGAGTCGGAATCATCAGCTGTGCCGAAATGACAGCTCCAGTTCGTGTCCTACACGTTGTTCACTCGTTGCCCATGTCTGGTTGCATGTCTGGTTGCATGTCTGTGCTTGCATCCAACACCGCACGAAGATGGGAAGCGCAACTGCTGCTGGCTCTTGATGCGGTGCTTAGGTCATGCAACAACACCATTCAATTGAGTCGGAATCATCAGCTGTGCCGAAATGACAGCTCCAGTTCGTGTACCTACCACGTTGTTCACTCGTTGCCCATGTCTGGCCGGGTTGCATGTCTGTGCTTGCATCCAACACCGCACGAAGATGGGAAGCGCAACTGCTGCTGGGTCTTGATGCGGTGCTTAGGTCATGCAATAACACCATTCAATTGAGTCGGAATCATCAGCTGTGCCGAAATGACAGCTCCAGTTCGTGTACTACACGTTGTTCACTCGTTGCCCATGTCTGGTTGCATGTCTGGTTGCATGTCTGTGCTTGCATCCAACACCGCACGAAGATGGGAAGCGCAACTGCTGCTGGGTCTTGATGCGGTGCTTAGGTCATGCAATAACACCATTCAATTGAGTCGGACATCATCGGCTGTGCCGAAATGACAGCTCCAGTTCGTGTACCCACACGTTGTTCACTCGTTGCCCATGTCTGGTTGCATGTCTGGTTGCATGTCTGTGCTTGCATCCAACACCGCACGAAGATGGGAAGCGCAACTGCTGCTGGGTCTTGATGCGGTGCTTAGGTCATGCAATAACACCTATTCAATTGAGTCGGAATCATCAGCTGTGCCGAAATGACAGCTCCAGTTCGTGTCCTACACGTTGTTCACTCGTTGCCCATGTCTGGTTGCATGTCTGGTTGCATGTCTGTGCTTGCATCCAACACCGCACGAAGATGGGAAGCGCAACTGCTGCTGGCTCTTGATGCGGTGCTTAGGTCATGCAATAACACCATTCAATTGAGTCGGACATCATCGGCTGTGCCGAAATGACAGCTCCAGTTCGTGTACCACACGTTGTTCACTCGTTGCCCATGTCTGGTTGCATGTCTGGTTGCATGTCTGTGCTTGCATCCAACACCGCACGAAGATGGGAAGCGCAACTGCTGCTGGGTCTTGATGCGGTGCTTAGGTCATGCAATAACACCATTCAATTGAGTCGGAATCATCAGCTGTGCCGAAATGACAGCTCCAGTTCGTGTACCTACCACGTTGTTCACTCGTTGCCCATGTCTGGCGGGTTGCATGTCTGTGCTTGCATCCAACACCGCACGAAGATGGGAAGCGCAACTGCTGCTGGGTCTTGATGCGGTGCTTAGGTCATGCAATAACACCATTCAATTGAGTCGGAATCATCAGCTGTGCCGAAATGACAGCTCCAGTTCGTGTACTACACGTTGTTCACTCGTTGCCCATGTCTGGTTGCATGTCTGGTTGCATGTCTGTGCTTGCATCCAACACCGCACGAAGATGGGAAGCGCAACTGCTGCTGGCTCTTGATGCGGTGCTTAGGTCATGCAATAACACCATTCAATTGAGTCGGACATCATCGGCTGTGCCGAAATGACAGCTCCAGTTCGTGTACCCACACGTTGTTCACTCGTTGCCCATGTCTGGTTGCATGTCTGGTTGCATGTCTGTGCTTGCATCCAACACCGCACGAAGATGGGAAGCGCAACTGCTGCTGGGTCTTGATGCGGTGCTTAGGTCATGCAATAACACCTATTCAATTGAGTCGGAATCATCAGCTGTGCCGAAATGACAGCTCCAGTTCGTGTACTACACGTTGTTCACTCGTTGCCCATGTCTGGTTGCATGTCTGGTTGCATGTCTGTGCTTGCATCCAACACCGCACGAAGATGGGAAGCGCAACTGCTGCTGGCTCTTGATGCGGTGCTTAGGTCATGCAATAACACCATTCAATTGAGTCGGACATCATCGGCCTGTGCCGAAATGACAGCTCCAGTTCGTGTACCACACGTTGTTCACTCGTTGCCCATGTCTGGTTGCATGTCTGGTTGCATGTCTGTGCTTGCATCCAACACCGCACGAAGATGGGAAGCGCAACTGCTGCTGGCTCTTGATGCGGTGCTTAGGTCATGCAATAACACCTATTCAATTGAGTCGGAATCATCAGCTGTGCCGAAATGACAGCTCCAGTTCGTGTCCTACACGTTGTTCACTCGTTGCCCATGTCTGGTTGCATGTCTGGTTGCATGTCTGTGCTTGCATCCAACACCGCACGAAGATGGGAAGCGCAACTGCTGCTGGCTCTTGATGCGGTGCTTAGGTCATGCAATAACACCATTCAATTGAGTCGGAATCATCAGCTGTGCCGAAATGACAGCTCCAGTTCGTGTACTTCCACGTTGTTCACTCGTTGCCCATGTCTGGTCCGGGTTGCATGTCTGTGCTTGCATCCAACACCGCACGAAGATGGGAAGCGCAACTGCTGCTGGGTCTTGATGCGGTGCTTAGGTCATGCAATAACACCTTTCAATTGAGTCGGAATCATCAGCTGTGCCGAAATGACAGCTCCAGTTCGTGTACTACACGTTGTTCACTCGTTGCCCATGTCTGGTTGCATGTCTGGTTGCATGTCTGTGCTTGCACTCCAACACCGCACGAAGATGGGAAGCGCAACTGCTGCTGGCTCTTGATGCGGTGCTTAGGTCATGCAATAACACCATTCAATTGAGTCGGACATCATCAGCCTGTGCCGAAATGACAGCTCCAGTTCGTGTACCGCACGTTGTTCACTCGTTGCCCATGTCTGGTTGCATGTCTGGTTGCATGTCTGTGCTTGCATCCAACACCGCACGAAGATGGGAAGCGCAACTGCTGCTGGGTCTTGATGCGGTGCTTAGGTCATGCAATAACACCTATTCAATTGAGTCGGAATCATCAGCTGTGCCGAAATGACAGCTCCAGTTCGTGTACTACACGTTGTTCACTCGTTGCCCATGTCTGGTTGCATGTCTGGTTGCATGTCTGTGCTTGCATCCAACACCGCACGAAGATGGGAAGCGCAACTGCTGCTGGCTCTTGATGCGGTGCTTAGGTCATGCAATAACACCATTCAATTGAGTCGGAATCATCAGCTGTGCCGAAATGACAGCTCCAGTTCGTGTTACTACACGTTGTTCACTCGTTGCCCATGTCTGGTTGCATGTCTGGTTGCATGTCTGTGCTTGCATCCAACACCGCACGAAGATGGGAAGCGCAACTGCTGCTGGGTCTTGATGCGGTGCTTAGGTCATGCAATAACACCATTCAATTGAGTCGGAATCATCAGCTGTGCCGAAATGACAGCTCCAGTTCGTGTACTCACACGTTGTTCACTCGTTGCCCATGTCTGGTTGCATGTCTGGTTGCATGTCTGTGCTTGCATCCAACACCGCACGAAGATGGGAAGCGCAACTGCTGCTGGGTCTTGATGCGGTGCTTAGGTCATGCAATAACACCATTCAATTGAGTCGGAATCATCAGCTGTGCCGAAATGACAGCTCCAGTTCGTGTCCCGCACGTTGTTCACTCGTTGCCCATGTCTGGTTGCATGTCTGGTTGCATGTCTGTGCTTGCATCCAACACCGCACGAAGATGGGAAGCGCAACTGTTGCTGGCTCTTGATGCGGTGCTTAGGTCATGCAATAACACCCTTCAATTGAGTCGGAATCATCAGCTGCGCCGAAATGACAGCTCCAGTTCGTGTCCTACACGTTGTTCACTCGTTGCCCATGTCTGGTTGCATGTCTGGTTGCATGTCTGTGCTTGCATCCAACACCGCACGAAGATGGGAAGCGCAACTGCTGCTGGCTCTTGATGCGGTGCTTAGGTCATGCAACAACACCCATTCAATCGAGTCGGAATCATCAGCTGTGCCGAAATGACAGCTCCAGTTCGTGTCCTACCACGTTGTTCACTCGTTGCCCATGTCTGGTGCTCGGGTTGCATGTCTGTGCTTGCATCCAACACCGCACGAAGATGGGAAGCGCAACTGCTGCTGGCTCTTGATGCGGTGCTTAGGTCATGCAATAACACCTTTCAATTGAGTCGGAATCATCAGCTGTGCCGAAATGACAGCTCCAGTTCGTGTACTACACGTTGTTCACTCGTTGCCCATGTCTGGTTGCATGTCTGGTTGCATGTCTGTGCTTGCATCCAACACCGCACGAAGATGGGAAGCGCAACTGCTGCTGGCTCTTGATGCGGTGCTTAGGTCATGCAATAACACCATTCAATTGAGTCGGACATCATCAGCCTGTGCCGAAATGACAGCTCCAGTTCGTGTCCCGCACGTTGTTCACTCGTTGCCCATGTCGGTTGCATGTCTGGTTGCATGTCTGTGCTTGCATCCAACACCGCACGAAGATGGGAAGCGCAACTGCTGCTGGGTCTTGATGCGGTGCTTAGGTCATGCAATAACACCATTCAATTGAGTCGGAATCATCAGCTGTGCCGAAATGACAGCTCCAGTTCGTGTACTCACACGTTGTTCACTCGTTGCCCATGTCTGGTTGCATGTCTGGTTGCATGTCTGTGCTTGCATCCAACACCGCACGAAGATGGGAAGCGCAACTGCTGCTGGGTCTTGATGCGGTGCTTAGGTCATGCAATAACACCATTCAATTGAGTCGGAATCATCAGCTGTGCCGAAATGACAGCTCCAGTTCGTGTACTACACGTTGTTCACTCGTTGCCCATGTCTGGTTGCATGTCTGGTTGCATGTCTGTGCTTGCATCCAACACCGCACGAAGATGGGAAGCGCAACTGCTGCTGGGTCTTGATGCGGTGCTTAGGTCATGCAATAACACCATTCAATTGAGTCATCAGCTGTGCCGAAATGACAGCTCCAGTTCGTGTCCCGCACGTTGTTCACTCGTTGCCCATGTCTGGTTGCATGTCTGGTTGCATGTCTGTGCTTGCATCCAACACCGCACGAAGATGGGAAGCGCAACTGCTGCTGGGTCTTGATGCGGTGCTTAGGTCATGCAATAACACCATTCAATTGAGTCGGAATCATCAGCTGTGCCGAAATGACAGCTCCAGTTCGTGTACTCACACGTTGTTCACTCGTTGCCCATGTCTGGTTGCATGTCTGGTTGCATGTCTGTGCTTGCATCCAACACCGCACGAAGATGGGAAGCGCAACTGCTGCTGGGTCTTGATGCGGTGCTTAGGTCATGCAATAACACCATTCAATTGAGTCGGAATCATCAGCTGTGCCGAAATGACAGCTCCAGTTCGTGTACTCACACGTTGTTCACTCGTTGCCCATGTCTGGTTGCATGTCTGGTTGCATGTCTGTGCTTGCATCCAACACCGCACGAAGATGGGAAGCGCAACTGCTGCTGGGTCTTGATGCGGTGCTTAGGTCATGCAATAACACCATTCCAATTGAGTCGGAATCATCAGCTGTGCCGAAATGACAGCTCCAGTTCGTGTACTACACGTTGTTCACTCGTTGCCCATGTCTGGTTGCATGTCTGGTTGCATGTCTACCTCTGCTTGCATCCAACACCGCACGAAGATGGGAAGCGCAACTGCTGCTGGCTCTTGATGCGCGGTGCTTGGGTCATGCAATAACACCATTCAATTGAGTCGGAATCATCAGCTGTGCCGAAATGACAGCTCCAGTTCGTGTACTACACGTTGTTCACTCGTTGCCCATGTCTGGTTGCATGTCTGGTTGCGTGTGGGCTTGCATCCAACACCGCACGAAGATGGGAAGCGCAACTGCTGCTGGCTCTTGATGCGGTGCTTAGGTCATGCAATAACACCTTTCAATTGAGTCGGAATCATCAGCTGTGCCGAAATGACAGCTCCAGTTCGTGTACTACACGTTGTTCACTCGTTGCCCATGTCTGGTTGCATGTCTGGTTGCATGTCTGTGCTTGCATCCAACACCGCACGAAGATGGGAAGCGCAACTGCTGCTGGGTCTTGATGCGGTGCTTAGGTCATGCAATAACACCATTCAATTGAGTCGGAATCATCAGCTGTGCCGAAATGACAGCTCCAGTTCGTGTACTCACACGTTGTTCACTCGTTGCCCATGTCTGGTTGCATGTCTGGTTGCATGTCTGTGCTTGCATCCAACACCGCACGAAGATGGGAAGCGCAACTGCTGCTGGGTCTTGATGCGGTGCTTAGGTCATGCAATAACACCATTCAATTGAGTCGGAATCATCAGCTGTGCCGAAATGACAGCTCCAGTTCGTGTACTCACACGTTGTTCACTCGTTGCCCATGTCTGGTTGCATGTCTGGTTGCATGTCTGTGCTTGCATCCAACACCGCACGAAGATGGGAAGCGCAACTGCTGCTGGGTCTTGATGCGGTGCTTAGGTCATGCAATAACACCATTCAATTGAGTCGGAATCATCAGCTGTGCCGAAATGACAGCTCCAGTTCGTGTACTCACACGTTGTTCACTCGTTGCCCATGTCTGGTTGCATGTCTGGTTGCATGTCTGTGCTTGCATCCAACACCGCACGAAGATGGGAAGCGCAACTGTTGCTGGCTCTTGATGCGGTGCTTAGGTCATGCAATAACACCTTTCCAATTGAGTCGGAATCATCAGCTGTGCCGAAATGACAGCTCCAGTTCGTGTACTACACGTTGTTCACTCGTTGCCCATGTCTGGTTGCATGTCTGGTTGCATGTCTAACTGCCTGCTTGCATCCAACACCGCACGAAGATGGGAAGCGCAACTGCTGCTGGCTCTTGATGCGCGGTGCTTGGGTCATGCAATAACACCATTCAATTGAGTCGGAACCATCAGCTGTGCCGAAATGACAGCTCCAGTTCGTGTACTACACGTTGTTCACTCGTTGCCCATGTCTGGTTGCATGTCTGGTTGCGTGTTGGGCTTGCATCCAACACCGCACGAAGATGGGAAGCGCAACTGCTGCTGGGTCTTGATGCGGTGCTTAGGTCATGCAATAACACCTTTCAATTGAGTCGGAATCATCAGCTGTGCCGAAATGACAGCTCCAGTTCGTGTACTACACGTTGTTCACTCGTTGCCCATGTCTGGTTGCATGTCTGGTTGCATGTCTGTGCTTGCATCCAACACCGCACGAAGATGGGAAGCGCAACTGCTGCTGGGTCTTGATGCGGTGCTTAGGTCATGCAATAACACCTTAATTCAATTGAGTCGGAATCATCAGCTGTGCCGAAATGACAGCTCCAATTCGTGTACTACACGTTGTTCACTCGTTGCCCATGTCTGGTTGCATGTCTGGTTGCATGTCTGTGCTTGCATCCAACACCGCACGTAGATGGGAAGCGCAACTGCTGCTGGCTCTTGATGCGGTGCTTAGGTCATGCAATAACACCATTCAATTGAGTCGGAATCATCAGCTGTGCCGAAATGACAGCTCCAGTTCGTGTCCGACCACGTTGTTCACTCGTTGCCCATGTCTGGTTGCACGTCTGGTTGCATGTCTGTGCTTGCATCCAACACCGCACGAAGATGGGAAGCGCAACTGCTGCTGGGATGCGGTGCTTAGGTCATGCAATAACACCCCTTAATTAGTGGGAATCATCGATTGTGCCGAAATGACAGCTCCAGTTCGTGTACCGCACGTTGTTCACTCGTTGCCCATGTCTGGTTGCATGTCTGGTTGCATGTCTGGTTGCATGTCTGTGCTTGCATCCAACACCGCACGAAGATGGGAAGCGCAACTGCTGCTGGGCCTTGATGCGGTGCTTAGGTCATGCAATAACACCATTCAATTGAGTCGGAATCATCAGCTGTGCCGAAATGACAGCTCCAGTTCGTGTACTACACGTTGTTCACCTCGTCGCCCCATGTCTGGTTGCATGTCTGGTTGCATGTTTGCTGCTTGCATCCAACACCGCACGAAGATGGGAAGCGCAACCGCTGTTGGTGGGTCTTGATGCGGTGCTTAGGTCATGCAATAACACCATTCAATTGAGTCGGAATCATCAGCTGTGCCGAAATGACAGCTCCAGTTCGTGTACTACACGTTGTTCACTCGTTGCCCATGTCTGGTTTATAAATATATGATTTTGTTCAACGTTCGAAAAGGATGAAAGCGCAATCATCGTAATTTTTCCTAACGGCGCTTGTACTGTGCGAGCATACATATCTCTCGTATGTGTTACCGACATTTTTACGTTTGAATGACAGCTAAGATTCGTGTAATGGTCAAGTATTTTTTTACTTCCATTACCAATCTTGTTGTCTAGTTTTTATTGTACCTTGTTGGTTTCAGAGAGGAAAGCGGATGTAAACGGAATTATAGCCACCAATGAAAACTGAGGAAAAACACTTGTTTAGTTAACATAAATAGTGAAAGTGATAGATTATTAGGGCCTTTTTACCTGCACACTCATTCATACATGTCCACATAAAAATCGTGTACGACTTTTCACGCCTATATTTATTAGCAACCTCCTATGTAATTAAAGACCTAACGATGAATTTATTCATAACTTTACTTCTATGTGAAAACCGTTGTAAGTACAATTACATTAGAACTTACCCTAAAAACCGATTCTACCAGTATTTTTTAGCCACGTCCCCAATCCTAACGCACACGGATACCAAGCGTTGTCGTTATGTACTTGTGACGCAAACCGTGAAGTCCCTTGGCCACGGCGTCTACCATCATCACGGTCTTTTCGCAGTATTTGAGATCGAACTTATTGCGTTGAAACAGATTGTATATGTGATAGTACTATAAATTAATCTGCTCGGCGCGACACAATGGGCAGAAATCTTTGTCGCCTTGATGTAATACTGATTGTCTACACGGGTCATGAGCTCAGGCTCTAATTTACTTGAAGTTGTCGTGATTTTACATAGTAAACGATGAATCAAATGCCTTCTTGAATCGACAATCCAAGTGCAATGTAATTTGTTTTGCTCGTAAACAGCGACATACTTGGCTATTTCTTGCTGCCCCAACTCACTGGCGCACCCGATAAAATGAACGCCACACCCAGCTTTGTCATACTTCCATATCTCATCGTGCTTTGTCGGTAACGAAAGATTCTCTTGACTACAACCCACTGCTATTCTAAGCACTGGTCTTCAAAACCGCAATAAATAGATAACTGTATATGCAATGTTCGGTCGTGTTGCAATTGTCGGATGCATTAAAGCGCTAGTATCCTCACGAAGAAAGGCGAGGAATTTTGTTGAGGCGTTGCTCGAATCCAGTCAAGAGACCACGCACACAAAATTTCCACATGCTTTCACTTACTCATATCAAAGTGCTTATGAATACCATCGACATAGAGGAAACAAAGTAGGTCGCGCTGCAAACTTCACCACAAAATCTCGGTTTTTAGACTAAATGCATACTTGACGCTTTTCTTTACTTGAACGCGTGTTTTAAAGTCTTTGTTACTGGCTTGCAATCATTTCAAGAGAGATCCAATAATTAATACATTGTCCACGTAGACCAGCACGAGCACGAAGTGACCCCCGTAGTCATGATACATAGACATGGATCGAACACCGACGGCTTAGAATTATTGAGCGTGCGAGCTCATTACCTTTTTTGATCCGTACACGATATTTTTGCATGGGAATTTTGATTGCCTTGACCATCTCGATACAGTCGAAGTCACTATCCGTCAAAACGTCATCTGGAATGACGCAGAACACCTTTTACTTCATTACTCCGTACAAGAATGCCGTCGACACGCCAAGTTGGTCGGATGGTCATCCAAAGTGCCTGGTAGAGGCAGTGACCATTCGAAGCGTCAAGTACTTGACTACGAGCGAGAGCATCCCTGTGAATTCGATGCTGTATTTCTGGCAAAAAATCGTTGACCAGTCGTGCCTTGCACTGTATAGTTGACCCATCCGCCTAGCAATTGATCTTAGCGATCCACTTAGTTCATTAGCACCTTATAAAATAAGAAAATTAAACGTGGATGCACGAAACACAAAAATAAGCTTCACTACATTTAAATTGCTGTAATAGCCGTGCACCATTGTACTTGGCCCGACCCATCCACTTTCTCTATAAACGTAGGTTATTTACAACACTAATGCTGCTACAATAGCATTTGCGATTGCTCTTCAAATTGCAGGGAAAGTTGATACATCATGTTGATCTTTCGAATTAATTTAATTTACATTAGTTAAACACAAAGAGAGTTCCCTCTGCGCATTTATTTTTACAATAATGGTGTTGGGTGTGATGTATGAAGTGTCCTAACAGCTTCATCTTCTCCAGTACGCTAACCCTTGTGCTTCCGTGTATCTCGTAATTCCATACGACGCGGGCACTTATCGACAGAAAAAAGAAATTCGGTATTCAGGATATTTACGATCTCGCCAGAAGTAGTAGTTGAAAGCGCAAATGAAGACTTAATGAATTTCACATCGCATTTGGTACCAACTGCCCCTCTTTGATGTAAGTAACTCGATAAGCCTCGGACGCTGCTTAGTATCCCAAAAAAATCTAGCATGAGCCTTAAAAAAGTACAAGACATAAGATTTTAATTTAAGTGGTTCCTACTTCGAGATCAACACGCACAATTGACAACATTTTAATCCACATCTCCATAATGCTTGGCTTGGTATTGCAAAAATCCTAAAAATGGGTCCCGTAAACGAGCTTGGGTCGTGGAAGATAGTTAAATCCATTGATTGCCGTCACTCCTGCTTTCGCCTAAAAAAACATGTCAAACTTGAAACGATGAAGCACGCTGCCACCGACAGTGACCATAATCCAGTCAGAAGTTCCATTGGTCTAGTGCGGACATGATACAGTTGCCCGCAGTAAGAAAATTCTAATCGTAGAAAATTATCAGCGAGCTGGTCACATATTTAGGGCTCTATCGTGCCGCACAAAGCCGAGCTGCACAATATCATCGCGATGTACTTGTTGGCACATCCCCCTCTCCAAATTGTCATGCATACAAAACCCATTTGTGCACACTGATTATTTCGCAATTAGAGGCAGATGATTGCTGATGCCTAGTGACTATCCGTTCATTGCTCCGCAGGTGTCTAGATAAAGTAGCTCAAAAGGGTTAATCTCAAAATCAAGATGATTATAGGGATGTTTTATTACAAAATACGTACTTGTTATCTTTTACATTATTAATATACATAAGGTAATGAAATTAAGTTCTGGATCCAAATAAATAATATTACTAGTTAACAGTATAGCATCTTGAATGTGATGTTGAATTAAAATGATGTCAACAGATCACAAAATCTAAAATCGTTTTCGTTAACATTGGTGTTATTTCTGCTATAATTGCTTAAAATCTGGGCTAAAAACAAACGGAATTTTGTGAGTTATAAAAAAATTAAACGAGATAGAATGTAAATATTTTTTTTCTCTGATTTTTTATGCCTGGTCATTCTTTCAAATAACTAGATATAAATATATAATGGACTTAGTAGTCATTTGCATTTGTCTCGGTTGCTAAAATCTGGTTTTGCACCATCCTCCACTGTTGGCATTCTCGACAACAACTTATCCCATTCGATGTAAACGAGATTTTTGCTTCCTTAATAATGTCGCTGGTCACCATCTTGCAACCCACTTCTGCTGGAGCTTGAATTTTTCACGCATGTAGTTTTACAGTGTCGCCGCGTGATGCCGTATCTGCTGATAGATACACCGTGCAAAGCCAGTAGAGTCCGACCATTAGATTCCCAGCTGCCGCCACTTAGGTCGAATCCTCCCTTTCATAGCAAATTGTAGCCCAGTCGAACATCTAAAAACGATTGCCAGCCCTGTTAACCTGCGGCAACGATTTTATTCGATAATGCTGGGCACGTACAGATCATTACATATTTCGATCTTGCGCTCGTCCCGATTATCAGTATCACTTATTCGGACATGGCACCGAGACCTTTTATGGTAGCCTTGTTGCCATCAGCTATTAAAAATGCTGCCATCGATACTTGCCAACAATTTTAAAAATGTTTAAGTTGTCGTGGCAGA